TGTTCTCTTTAATATCTTTCTTTTTTTTTTTGTAAAACTACAACAAACAGGGGAAAAGTTTGCACATATTCACATTTACTAACATTTTCCATTTAACCAGCGGTACAAATTTGCTAATGTACATAGTTTTTGTTCAAATCTTTATAAGCATATGAAGAAAATCTATTAAATGAGTCAATTTGAATCGAATATTAGCAAAATTATAATATTTGTTACACCACCAGCATAATGTCTAAGCCATTACAGAATTACACCTGTATTTTGTTGTTGAAATTTCTTTATGGCTTATAGAACTAATAATCCAATGAACCTTAAATATTTTTTAAATATATATAGAACTTTAGTAAAAATAGAGCACTTACTGAGATATTTCAATGTGTATAGCAGCCACCAGATATAGTCTGCATGTCCGTTACTCTCTACTACACATTGAGGGAAACCGAAAGTTAAACTAATCCTAAAACTAAAAGTAAAATAAATGCCCAGTAGGTGGTGAGTCAAAACCACAAGTGGCTATATGCGACTGCACAACATTGATTGTGCATGGTTCAAAAATATACGTTTTGTTGGGCTGGATCCTTTTCATGCCAGTTGAGGAGGAGGGGGCTAAATGCCCCTGTGGGTCAGCAATTTGAGATCCCTGGTTTAAAGAGTCCCATGGCATGAATTGTGTTTTACACTAGTAGAAATAAAGGTGCACAAGGTGTCACCTGGGTGATACCTTTTCAAAGGGTACACTTTAGCAGTTATAGGCTGTGATATGTACACTTTAGTTACTAATATGCATCTTTAAAGGAATAGTTCAATGAAAATTGGTATTTGCCCAATATTTATTCACCCTCAAGTGGTTCCAAACCTTTGTGTTTCTTTATTCGGTTTTGCATAAAGTTTTTGAAGTCAGTTATTATTCAAAATGTCTTCTTTTGTTTTTAGTTGAATAAAGCAAGTCAAACAGGTTTGAAACAAGTGAAACACGAGTAAACAATGACAGAACTTTCAGTTTTGGTTGAACTATCTCTTTAAAGTACCACTGTTGTGCCCTTTAGGTACAAATGTGCACCTTTTAAAAAGGTACAACCACAGTGACACAATTCATGTTGAAAAGACAAACTTGCATTAAAAAGGTGTTCATATTATGGGAAATGTTAAATATGTCAAATTTAAAACTGCACAAAAACAGTGGTCAAAGGACATAAAATGTTCTATAATAATATCTTTTTACTATGCCAATCCGCTTGTTAAGTGTGACATCACACGAAGCGGCTTCCGGGTCCAAGCGCTCTATTCAACTGAATGGGGAGACACATGAAATGGTAATAATAAACGTTTACAAAGCGATTTAAGGCTTTCGAAAATCACGATCGCTGTATATATGTCCATGCCTAATATCCGATGGCCAGAAAGTGGTTAATTTTTTTATAAATTGTTAAATTTTTGGTATTTGTTATGCAGCAAGCCCAGAGATTGTTGTGTACTCTATAATGTTATATAAAATTAACTTTAATGTGTGATAGGAATAAAACGTGATCATAAACGAATGATTTCTCCACTCAAATGAATGGCGGCTTGGACCTGGAAACAGTATTACATACGTCACAAACACGTCACCACTTAACAAGCGGATAATGTAAAATATGTCCTTAAGCACTTTACGATGGATATTTCGAAAGCGGTTATTTTGTTATAGCAAATTAAGATGTCTATTGTTTACTTGTTGAAAGAAAAACAGTGCTTTGGGAGAAAATGCTGTCATAGCAATGGCCTTAAAGGGAAATAATTGTACTTTATCCTTATTAATATGCACCTGTTAGGGGTGGATTTGGTACACAGTTGTTTCTTTGAATGTACTGCTCCAGTGGCAAGCTGTACTAGACTGTAAAACATGCTTTTTCAAAGCTGTAAACAACACCAAAGTTCACAGTTTATTCCTCATATTTTTACTAAATGTACATTTTAATACAATGTATTTCAAAACTACAATTATTGATAGTATTTTGCTTAGTTTGACACACAAATTAGAAACAATCTGTGCTTTAGGTTACCAGTCACGAAGTTTATCTCATTCACGATTCAAAAAAGTAAAACTTTTTAAGAGCCGTTTTTAAATAATCACTTTGCTTTGAAATTCACATTTGAGATGACTGTGTGTGGTTTAATTTTGTATGGAAGGAAACATATTCAAATGTTGTTACCCTTGAATATTTTAACTAAAATGATTGGAAATCATAAGCTTTTGTAAAAACTCAAATAAATATGTTGTTGAAAAGATCAAATATAAAGCTGCAAAGAAATTAAGATATTAGATTTACTGTTTATGTGTGTGTGTGTGATTGTTTTATTTTATAAAAGACTGACAATAATTCTTTTCACTTTTCAACATTTTGTTTGTTTGCAGAAAATGTGTCAAAATAACCTATGTTTTCATTTGTTGTGATATAGTATTAGGGTCATTTTTATACATATTGATTTCTTAACATAATACTAAAGTTTTTACTTTAGATAAGTTGTATAGAAACAAACAGCATCTTTTTGTTATTTTGACAGATTGTCATTTTATGCTCTAAATGACAACATTTAGTTATTTTAATATAAATGTAGAATAAATGTCATAAGTAGTTTGCAGCACAAAACAAAACCTGTTTAACTCAAACACATACCAATAAATCATTAGATTTTAAAAAGTAATATATGATCTCTTAGATTTTATTTCCCCCAAAGCTATATTATTATATTATTTATGTCTTATATGATCTATTAATGAGAAAAAGTACTTTGAAAATACAGTTTCAACCATGCTTGTTTTGGCAGAAGACTCACCTGCTCGTGTCTTGTTCTCCACCGATAGCTCCAGACATGTCAACTAAACTTCCCGCAGAGGATATGGAGAACGTGACTGAAGGTCTTTTGTCCAAAAGGTTGTTAGAGCCACTACAGCTTTTAGTTCTGAAAAGTTTACTGAGTCGGATTTTAAGCGAGCCCTTCCTGGATTTCCCTGGTACTTTTAGAGTCTTCTCTCCCCCGCTCGCTGCGGAAAGATGCGCCCGGCTCGAACTCCGGGCCTTCGGCGTGGACGCCTGGCTGGAGCATGGCGTCTCCTGGCTGGGTTCGGCTTGGGAAATCACCTCGGGAATCAGTTTGTCAGCGGCGGGAGCCTGGGGCCTGTTGTTTACAGAGTCTCGCAACAAGCAACACGTCGGCGAGCAAAGTCCCCCGGACACCCCCATAGCTTGCCCGGACAGAACCGAGGGGAAACACTTTAGCGCAAACGCGCCGGGCTCCGTGGTCTGGGACTCGGGCTTCTGACAGGCGTTGATGCCCAGGCCGTTCACCTCCTCTGACCCGAGGCCCTCCAGCACCAGCAAAGCATCGCTGGTCTCGGTCGGGTCCTCTCCCTGCCGCATCCCCGCCGAGCCCAGCACGCTTTGACAGGAGCAGTGCTGCAGCTCGCCATCCTTGAGCAGAAATTCGGGTACGGGAGCAACTCCCAGCTCGCCGAATTTCCTCGCGAGCTCCAGAACTGGACCTTCGGGGAGCTGGAGCTGCCGCTGCACTGTCATCGAGCTCGTTTTGTGCTCCACAACCGGCGGCCAGTCCTGTTGGTCTGTGATCAAGCGATGCCGGTGGCAGAGCTCGCCTCCATCCGTATCCGTAGCAACCGCTGGCAGTTTGAGCTGTGGATGCAGCGTCCATGTAGGCGGATGCTGAGCGTCCACAGCGCCGGACTCGGAAGCGAGTAGCGCTTGGTCCTCAAAAGCCCTGCGCTGATCCTCCGACTTGTTCTCGGAAAATCCTTCAGAGTCTCTCGATATGTTTCTGAATACCAACAGCTGAGGCCCCATTCCACCTCGGTGGGTGAGATCGTACCCGTGGGCCTCGGCTGAATGGAGAGGAGGCGGCGGCACAGACAGCGCAGGTCTGGTCGCCATCACTCCCGCGTCAGGTGCCTCCGTTCCGCTGGCCTGCGGAGCTTTGTTCACGGCCGAGATAATGCCGTGATTCTGCGTGCATTCAAAGTTCCCCTTGATAGCCACTGTCAGTCCAGTGCCCGACGACAGATTCCCATTCTCCTCGTCCAAGCGGTCATCCTCGGCCGCGGAGACCAGGCGCATCAAGACAAAATCGGGAGACATATCTTGCGCGTTGTTCATTATTATTCCTCAATATACTGAAGGAATGAGCGATATCGGCGTTTCACATTGCTCCAGTCATGAGATCTCGGTTGTGTGATGATGGTGATGATGGTAATCCTCTTGGTGTTAGTTAGCCCCCTCACACAGCGCCAGACAATTAGTGCATATAAACTCTATTTCAGTCGCTCCTTCAACATTGCGCACGTCCTCGTCTCATTTCGCGTCCGGCCTTAAAAATCGCAACGGGTCTTTGTAGGGTCATACATAACGCTTCGTTTCACGCAATCCTAACGGCGTCTGTGGTCACATTACTGTCGAGGCCCCACCCGCCCGCTCACTTCCGCAAATTCGATGCGTTTCGTGTTTGGTCTTATCGGTGCCATTGCTGTCCACTTGGCTGCAGGCTATGTGCTGTCCCCCTTAGTGACGTGCACCGTGCTGTAATGTTGCTTTCATGTCATTTAGCGCGCTGTTGTCTGGAAGATGGCCTGGCCAACTGATGTTTTATGATGCATCAATTGCAATTGCATCGCCTTTCAGACGAACGAAACTATTCTTGCATTACGAGTGAAAGACGATTTGCTTTTGCACGATATCATTATTTCTCTGACGACTCTCATTTTGACATGCTGAAATTAAAGCATCATGCCTAACGCAATGTTCATAAATGCACCCAGAATTATGCGTAAAATGTGTATTTTATTATAGACATGTAAACAAAATAACTGAATGATTTATTATCATTTAACATGACACGGGCTGTTTTAGACAATATATCAATGCAAATAGAAAATTTTCAGCATTTAAACGAAAGATTATTTTTAAAAAACTTCTTTCTTCATTTATATGTTAATCTGTAATGAATCAGCAGCAATAATTATTGTACCACTTTGCTAAAACACATTATATAATATGGAAATATACATATTTTAAAATAACTGCACATGATAATGCTCATAGATGCCTATAGAGAGAGAATACAGTTATTGTTTACATTCACCCATTGTTCTGTGGTCAAGACTTTTCATTTGCTATGTATTAGTGAAATGCAATTTCATTGATGGACCGAACGGTGTCGCTATACACAAACATTTGCACATGTTCACAGAGCCCTTTAAAACCTGCCATCTCATAACACAAAGAGTTTATGAATTTTATTACAGTCATGGGTTACGCAAATATCCAGCAGAAAATGTGTCTTCACAGTAGGCTATGTTATCTGAGAGTTATCACATGCATTCAAAACATAATCTCTAATTAAACACACACAAAGCGGTTTGACACTGCTTAGCACTCAAACAAATACACATATATTCATCCATGAAAACCATTGACACAGTTTTGTTTTGATAACTGTCCATGTCTGTGTGTGGATGCACATATGTACAGGGGCACACAAGCAGCCACAGCCTCTGCAGTCCTGAATGGGGGTGGGGCCCCACAGGAATGAGTGTTGAATCTCAGAGCCCTGTTGCCATGGCACCAAAACAAGGATTCGCCTGCATTACCCAGTATGACTGGATTTGTCTGAATCATCTTTCTCTCTCTTGCACACACATATCATTGACAGACGTTAATTCATGTAGTACACATGTGCAACATGTTTTTTTCTTCTTCTTTATTTGTCTAACTCCCCTCCTCTACAAAATGCTATCAGAGTTCTATCAGAGATTAACATTGCACTTCATCTGCCAAGCAGATGCAGACTTGCATGCACATGTTCACAGATGCACAAAGTAGCACATACATACACAGTCCATAAAAGACCACTCATGACTGACCCAGCCGGTGAGTGTTGGGTTAATCCACAAAGCGGTGAGATTCTGATGCATACCCCAACAGAGAGGATTACCCTCCCATCCTCTCATCCATCAGCCCATCCTCATGCACATGCACTCATCATAACAATCCAACATTAACAGATGTGCCTCTCTCAGCACTCACCACTACCGGGAGATTGGGAGAGGGAGCGAGAGAGATGGGAGAGAGGGAGAGATTTAGACTGCAGAGTGTGTGAAGAGGTGAGCGGAGTGAGAGCCAGGGGTATTCCACATGTTGTCGGTTTCTAGTTGATCTCTGTTTCTCTCTTCAGTTTCTTGATGAATAATTAACTCCACACAGGCTGGAGATCCAAGTCTTCATGGTCCCGGACAGTATCACATGCAGGGTGGACACGATCAGCTTATTTCAGGACGCATAGAACTCTGAGTGTTACCTCTCTACCCTCTTGAGCTTCATCTTCAGCTTTGAAAACCAGTGTTCGTGTATGAGTGCACACTTATTTTGCGAGTGAGGCACTTTTGGGAAAGCAAGGAAAAAGGAAAAAATGGAGGCCTGCATTTTGAAAGCATCTTTCAGGACGTGACAAAGCGCCAAGCTGATCCTTTCCGTTGTAAAAAGCTTTGGAGAAGCAGTTGCTAAAAGTATGGGCCCATCTGCTGGTGTGCTACCACTACTTCTGCTGCTGCCTAGACTACTTTGTGCTCAGCTCAGCACCGTGTCTGAACTCAAGGACACATCCAGCTTGGAGTTCACCCCAACACCTTTTCTGACTGACCCAAATATCACCGCAGGAAAAGGTTTGTCTCCTAGCCCCCAAGCCACCAGTCTACCTCCTGTAACAGTGGAGGACCGATCCGCTGCAGAAAGCTACCTCTACAATGGCGATTCGTCCTCCTTGGCTGCCTCTACCTGCACACGAACTTTCCAGCTGCCCGTTCGGCGAGGACCTCCACCTCGAGACCTTCTCCCTCTTTTGCACCAAGCCATAGCATCTCTGACAAATGCTGCCAACTTTCTCAACCTCATATTCCAAGCTAGTGAGCTGAGAGAAACCAGTGTACGAGAGGATATAGAGTGGTACCATGCACTAGTCCGGACTATGCTTGAAGGGGATCGGCCAGGCTTGGTCAGACGAGCTTTTCTAACATTCGACGCCGACCCAACAATCCAACAGCCCCAGTTGGTGCTCCGTGCCTCCAAAGGCACAACCCAAGACATTCTCCTGCAGGACCTCACATCTGCCTGGACCAGCTTCCGTCCTCCTGCCCCTGACCAAAGCTGGTTTGATATATTCAAGTCTAGCTCTCCGCCCCTCCATGCCTTGTCTAAACGGGTTCTTCTAAATGACCTAAGCACCCTAGACACTCCCAAGTGGGCACGTGGGGACAGTTATGTGATCAATAGCAGTGGGGTTCAGTGGGGTGAAGGTCCTTTCCTTGAGTGTGTTGATGGCCGTTTTTTGCCAGGGTGGTTACTTAGCCTTTCAATGCCATTTTATGGGTTGAAGCCAGACCTCAGCCCAGAGTTCAGGTCAGTACAATTTCTTTAACTTCTTGTCTAAATGGTTGCTCATTTGTGTACTCAAAATGCCTTTTAAAACTGTATGTGTCCTCCTATAGGGATAGTTCATTGAAGAATGGACATTCTGTCATCACTTTTTTTTTACTACCTTAATTTAGTCTGTGGAGTACAAAATAACACATTTCAAAGAGTGTTTCAATGTTTTTGCCCATACAAGGAGAGTTAATGAGGTCTAAATTTACCCCATTGGACTCCAATGACTTCCACTCTAGACAAAAAAAAGAAAGTAAGTAATTAGGTTTGCAAAGACATGAGAGTAAGTAAAATAAAATTAAAATAATGTCCATTTTGGGTAGGCTATCCCATTAATTTAATTACTTATTTTAAGTTTACTACAAGTATTGTTACTTTTTTGCTTCTCTTTGTGTTCTGGTGATAGGGGTGTGATTCGTGTCGACGTCAACATCCAGGGATTTAGCGTGGATCAATGTGCCACTGGAGATTTCTGGTTCGCAAACACACACCAGTGTAATCGGACCAGCATGGAGGTAAGAGTCTACTGACCTCAGGCTGACTTCCTGTTGGTCTACAAATGGTCATGATGTCAGCGTTATTAAGTTTTATTAAAATTCTGGCAAAATTAATTTCTAAATATTACTTAACAGGAATGAAAAATGAAGTCAGTTCTCATCATCATGTAGTTCCAATCTCCTTTTGTGGAATACTAGTTTATATAGAAACTAGTTTATATAGAAACCATATTGTAGTTAATACAGTTTATTTGTTTAATTATAGCTAATGCAGCAAATAATATCAATCATTTACAATTATTTAAGAATAAAAAACATAATCTGGGTATTTAATATGTTATTAAAAGATGCTAAACATAATTTCATTGTCATTCAAGAAATGACTAGATGTAATGCTCTTATTCATATTGTCAGGATGAAAAGTTAGCACCATCTGGAAGAAGAAACAGACAGAGTTTTAATCTACAATTATTACAATAGTACTTTATAGGCCATATGTTCAGAGGATGAATTTCATTAACCAAAGGACAAGCAGTGGCAAAGCACATTTAGAGATCATTTAAAACGCTTGACTAAATTGGTGGTGAATTGATTTTTTTTTTTTCTCTTTGAGCATGCTTGATTCTCCACTGTATTGTAGCCGTTAGGTTAGCTTTAGAATTTAGTTATCGACTTTGATCTCTTTTATTCTGTAAATTACACAACAATTTGCTTTGGATTCAAATTATTTATAAACTGCCACTGTACACTGTAAAAAATCTGTAATTTTACGGTTATTTCTGGCAGCTGGGGTGCAGAAAAAAAAGTAAAATAAAGGTCGTTAAATTACATAAATTTACGGTAAAATAGCAGACATTAAATTACAGAAATGTACTATAATTTAAATTTCTGGTAAATTTCTATAATTCAACCTCTGTTATTTTACAGTCAATTTCTGTAATATGACGGCCTTTATTTAATTTTTTTTCCAGCACCCCAGCTGCCGAACATAAACCGTAAAATTACTTATTTTGTTTTACAGTGTATACAAAGTCATGTTGAGTGATAGTTCACCCAAAATTCCTCAATTCTGCATATCCAAAGGACAGACATACAAGATATCTGTGTTCCACTAAAAAAAGAAAAATGACAATTTATTTGTTATTGTTTTAGTGGGAAGTCCTTTTCAATATTTTTCAGTTCATGTTTATTTACAGTTGCACTTTTACAATGTAGATTGTCAAAGCAGCTTAACATAGACGTTCTAGTACATTGAAACTGTGTCAGTCCAGTTTTCAGTTCAGTTTAGTTCATTTCAGTGTGATTTAAATTTTACTGCTGAAAGTCCAAACACTGAAAAGCAAATCCATTGATGCACAGCCAAGCAATCCAGTGGTGACAGTTGCGACTTTTAACTTTAATACTACATGTTTCATGTCTCTCTCACTCTCTCACTCTTTACATTATTAAGCTTAATACATCACCTGCTTCACTCTTTAAATTGCTGGCCTGTTATATACATTTTCCATTTCCTGTTCCCACTGTTTTCCATCATCATCCTCCCACTTTCATCCAGACCTTCTATTTAAAGATGTGAGCACTGGGTGCAGGATGATCTGAAGGATTAGACTGATAATCCTGTGATGCTCACATACACAACCCCCCACCACCAACCCACCCAACTCTGACCCCCAAACATAGAGCAGAAGCTCAACACCACCCACCCCCAAGACTCAGACAACCCCCTCCCCACCCCCCTCATCCTGACCTACCAGAGCACAAACTCACAGGTGTTGACAGGTTAAACAACGGCAGGATTTGGCACACTGAACGAATTTAATGAGAATTGACTTGATCCGCCTATAAATGAAAGGAGCAGAGTATTAATAGAACCCTTTTTGTGGCATGATGATGCATCATTGTATGAAATATTAATTTGACATGATGTATGATATATTTACATGGGTATTTAAAGAAAAAGTTGACTCAAAAATGAAAATTTTGGTGTCATATATTCACCATGAAGTGGTTTTAAACTTTTATGAACTTCTTTTTTTCCTGATGAACACAAAATACAGCATGTTGAAGGATGTTAGAAACCAGTAGACAAATGACTGTGCAAGTCATTGGCAATAAGTTACCAACACTTTTTAATTTATTCTACTCAATAGCTTTTCATGTATTTCAGTAAAGTACAGATACAAAAATGAGTGTTAGTTTAACTAAAGAGTTACTGTAATACTAGTTTACAGTTTACACATATTCTATGTAATTACTACAGTAATAACAACGAATCATGCACAATTACATGCAACCAATCATACACAACTTTCTTATTGTAAACCTAACCATAAAATAAGTACATATAGTTAACTAATTATATGTAGTAACAATACAGAATAACTGGGACTTCACAAAAAAAATATGTAAAATTTACATTAAAAAAGGCAGCTGTGGTTGCCAGAACGTTACCGCATAAAATATGGTAGAAACCATTAAAGAATTTTCCATAATTTTTAATTAAATTGCCGTATTTCATTTTTTTACAGTATTATACACCAGTGTTTTGAAGTACAAACATCGACATGTCATATCTTTGTTACACAGACAAAAACAACACATGATGAATCAATTCTTATATCAAGCAACTTTTCCCACAATCAGAGACAAACTGATATAGAGGAGACACCAAGGACTCTATTTTAACGATCTAAGATCAAAGTCTAAAGCACATGGTGCAAAAGCATTAATGGCATGTCCGAATCGACCTTTGCTATTTTAAGGATGGAAAAAGACCTGGTGCATGGTCTAACAGGGTTATGTTTATTCTATTAATGAGTTATGGATGTGTTTTGAGCACAATGTGCATTAAACCAATCAGAGTCTCATTTCCTATTCCCCTTAAGAGTCCTTGCGTCGTGCCATGGTTCATTTGCTATTTACAAAGTGGACTTTGTAAGTGGAAAAACTGAACGCTTTACAGACCATCAGTGCAAGGATAAAGAATAAGCTTCTTCCATTCTGCCTCTTTACTTTCTCTTTACTTTACTTTTAATCTTTACTCCTGTACTTTTGTGGATAAGGAAACGGTGCTGTACGCACTCCACCGAAGACATCCATTAGCCTACATATTTAATTTGGTTTGTGAAGCTCAAAGATTTGCTTCAAAACGATTTCTAAATTCAGCTCTAATTTCCAGCAAACGAATGAATAAACAATAACAATGAAGTTTGGTAAAAAAGTTGTCCAAACACACATCCTATTCTTATACCCCATATGGTGATGCATTCATCTCCAAAACCCAACAGGTAGACAAATCTTAACTTGTTTTAATTAAAACAAATATAAATATGCATAAAGGCGTCATGGTGGCGCAGTGGGTAGCACGATCGCCTCACAACAAGAAGGTCGCTGATTCAAGCCCCGGCTGGGTCAGTTGGCATTTCTGTGCAGAGTTTGCATGTTCTCCCCGTGTTTGCATGGACTTCCACCGGGTGCTTTGGTTCCCCCACAGTCCAAAGGCATGCGCTATAAGTGAATTGAATAAGCTAAACTGGCCGTAGAGTATGTGTGTGAATACAAGAGTGTATGTATTCCAGTGTTGGGTTGTGACTGGAAGGGCATCCGCTGCCTATAACATATGCTGGTGATTGGTGGTTCATTCCATTGTGGCGACCCCTGAGTAATAAAGAAACTGAGCCGAAAAGAAAACATAAATAAATATACATATAATGAATAATACTGCTAATAGTATACAAACTGAACTTTAGACCAGCTTTTGTCGATGGTGCAATCTATTTCAGTTTCTCAAAATAGCAACTTGTCAACAATACTTAACGCACCTCCTTCATAGACCGGCACACCCGAGTCCACAAAGTGGCACAAATGGATTCGCTATTTAAACAACGTAGTGCAAAACATGAAAAATACATTCGCTCTGGTGTGAATATAGCAACAAATTGCACCATATACATCTTGCGACTTGCGCCAGCTGTATGATAGGGCCCTTAGTGTCTTTAACACAACTAAACATCATGGCAACACACATAGAATTAAAATTATCCCATAAAACATTTTTTTTCAACATTCAAAATTTTAATGTGCATCACTGATAAGAGAAACAAAAAAGAAGCACAGTGATTTCAACATAAACGCATAAAAAGTGAAGTGTCATGCAGGGAATCCTGCAGTCATTTTACTGTTAACCAGATTACAGATTTTCACTGTAGCATTTTTACAGTTCTTTTTTAACCATTGAAATTACGGTTATTTTTTACATTAATTTCGCAACTGCACTTGTTTAAACAAACTAATAACAAATATTCCTCAAACATGTATTAATATTATTAGAAATGTCAACATTTATAAGATAAATAAATCTAAACTTGTGTCCATTAATATAAACTAACATTTAATAAAGATTTAATGATGATAGTTGTACTTTAATATATTTTTACTATATATAAAAAAAACAGTAACAAATATATCGCAAATATTTAGTTAATGTTATCCACTGCATTAACTAATGTAAACTGATGGGACCTTATTGCAATGTTTACAATTTAGTAGATATAATCTATATCATCAAAAACTTTGAAGTATTTTATATTAATAAACATTAAAAAGGTAATATTTAATGTAACTAATGAATTGATTCTTGCTTGTTGTGACTTCACTAACATTAACCAATCTTATTGTAAGATAAAGTGTTACACATCATGAAACAAATATATATAGTCATACAAAGTTTAATGTACATATGCCACACCTTTTAGGAATTAGTATTGTCTATTGAATATAAAAGTAGATATTTTGAAGAATGTTTTAAAAAACCTGTAACAATTCACTTCTGTAGTAGGAAAGAAAATATATGGTAGTCAGTAGGCACCGCTTTGCAACATTCTTCAAATATCATCTTTTGTGTTCAACAGGAGAAAAAAAAAAACGATTTAGTGATGAGTAATATTTGTTGACAATAATGTAATTTTTTTGGCTGAACTATCCATTTTTGTGTCTCATCCTGATTGAATAATGATAAAACCGAAAACAACATAAAAATGTATGCGGACAGTGATGGATTTCCTTGAATAAAAAGATCAAGCTCTGCCAATAGAGGTATTACCCTTCCATTTAGGATTTAGCTTAGATTAACTCAGAGTGAGTCTGATGTGTGGGTCAGCCGACTCTCAGATAAACCGCTGATGAGAGACTGCACATGCAATTAATGGCAGAAAGCAGAGAGCACACCATCATCATCACAGAGCCGCTGGCAGCTCATTCCCCCTTTCTAGGAGCAACAATTTTCTTTACTGATGAAGGTAAAGCAGATGAGCAGACAAAAGTGCATGACTTTTCTTTTCTCTTTTTCTCCCAGTGTGAGCCTATTCCACAAAAGGGCTTCCGGATGGGTCAGTACTGCTGCCGATGTAAAAAGGGCTACTACAGTCCAATCTCAGACATACAGAACAAAAGTAAGGAATCAATTGCATCCAAGAAATCACTCCACGTGTCTGCAAGAATAATTGAAAGACTCAAGACTTTTAACATGCTTTTTAAAATGTTTTTTTTACATAAAACTTACTGTAAGAAATGTTGGGTTCCACACAAACGATTTGTTAGGTTAACTTATTCGCTGAACATAAAACAATCAAGTTTATTACCTTACATTATCAATAAAATAAATACCTCGGTTTTGATTGTTTTAGTGTATTTCAAACTTTCATTGTTTTGACCATTTTGGCCCTTAATGATAAATCATTGGTTTACAGTCGGTTAAGACTTGTTTTATTATATAGTTAACATGATGCTTTTTAATCAAGGGCAAATTTAGTTATTTGGAGGCCTATAAGCAATTCCAGCCATTAGGCCCAACAGTCCTACTATGCATTACTAATAAGTATTTTTATTTATTTTATTTGTATTTTTGTGTCGTCTTCCTATATCACTCACTCGTCTTTTTTACATTTATTTTTCTTAAAATTAAATCTATTTTTTAATAATACACTTTCGTTGTGGAAGACCAATTTGCACAAACATACAATTATAGAAAAATTTCACGTTTTGTAAGACTCTGGCTACATTATTTTTACACACACACACACACACACACATAGTTGAAGTCAGATTTTTCAGCCCCCCTTTGATTGATTAATTTATTATTATTATTATTATTATTATTTTTTTTTTGAATGTTTCCTAAATGCTGTTTAACAAGGACATTTTCACAGTATGTCTGGTAATATTTTTTTTCTGGAGAAAGTCTTATTTGTTTTATTTCGGCTAGATTAAAAGCAGTTTTTAATTTTTATAAACCATTTTAAGGTCAAAATTATTAGGCCCTTTTAAGCTATTTTTTTTTCGATAGTCACAATAACTTGCCTAATTACCATAACCTGCCTAGTTAACCTAATTAACCTAGTTAAGCCTTTAAATGTCACTTTAAGCTGTAAAGAAGTGTCTTGAAAAATATTAAGTCAAATATTATTTACTGTCATCAGGGCAAAAATAAAATAAATCAGTTATTAGAGATGAGTTATTAAAACTATTATTTTTAGATATGTGTTGAAAAGTCTTCTTTCCGTTAAAGAGAAATTGGGGAAAAAATAAACAAAGGGTCTAATAAATCAGGGAGGCTAATAATTCTGACTTTAACTGTATAATATATAGATATAATTTATACTTCTAGGTATTTATTGGGCCCCCTCAAATTTCCAGGGGGCTTAAGTGGCTGCTTACCTACTTATGGGTTAAATCTGCCCCTGCTGTTAATAGTATATAGTAATATCTAATATACAATGTAGTAATATAGTATATAATAATAAGAAAGGCAACAAACATGCTTTAACATGTTTGTTTTTGTACATTTTTGTGTTTTTTTCTGTTTGGTATTTCCAATAACAGTTCTTTTCAATAAGAACGAATACTTTTCTAGTTATAATTTACTGGATTAAAAAGTAATAAAAGTACTTTTTACAATAAGATTACCTGATGTATATAATAAATCAGAATGTAAATATTTAAAAAAAATATTCCTTAAAAAATTATTTATGATATTTTAAAACTTTCATGAGTTACCAGGTCTAGAAATTACACTTTTATATTCCCTCATATATTTATGATTTCTTGGTTTGGTTTGGACAGTCTTGGACTGTCTTGGTTTTTCAGTGCAAAAAAAGTTGGTGAAAAGAGTCAATAAAATACGGTAAATGATGATTTGTCATTTGTGCAATATATATCATTCAATAATGAGAACCACTGGCTTTCTTATATTATATTATATTATATTATATTATATTATATTATATTATATTATATTATATTATATTATATTATATTATATCATATTATATTATATCATATTATATTATATCATATTATATTAGGGCGATGCAGTGGCGCAGTAGGTAGTGCTGTCGCCTTACAGCAAGAAGGTTGCTGGTTCAAACCTCGGCTCAGTTGGCGTTTCTGTGGAGTTTGCATGTTCTCCCTGATTTTGTGTGGGTTTCCCACGGGTGCTCCGGTTTCCCCCACAGTCCAAAGACATGCGGCACAGGTGAATTTTGTAGGCTAAATTGTCCGTAGTGTATGAGTGTGTGTGTGGATGTTTCCCAGAGATGGGTTGCGGCTGGAAGGGCATCCGCTGTGTAAAAACGTGCTGGATAAGTTGGTGGTTCATTCCGCTGTGGCGAACATGGATTAATAATGAGACTAAGCCGACAAGAAAATGAATGAATGAATAAACATATTATATTATATTATATTATATTATATTATATTATATTATATTATATTATATTATATTATATTATATTATATTATATTATCATATTATATTATATTATTATATTATATTATATTATATTATATTATATTATATTATATTATATTATATAGTTGTATATAAAACAATTGAATATAAACAGGCTGTAAACAAACATTGAAGCATTTATATACTAATCTATAATGCATCATTAATTACACTGTAGGATTGTTGTAGGTGAAAGTAATGTGTATAACATTTAAATCCAAAACAGCAAAGAACAGCAAATGATGATATATCTTGTTCCAGGGAACAACCGTGAGAATAACACCCAAGCTTGTTACCCAGAAGTCCCTGTGTGTGTGCCCTGCTGGCCCGGCTGTGCTGAATGTGAGGATGGAGCCCCGTGTTGGGTGCAGGAGGACTGGCTCCTGAGGACGGCTGTTCTGGCTGTGCAGGGCCTCTTCATGATCCTTGTGCTAATCAGCATGCTGGTGGCATATCAGTGCAGAAAAACCAAGGTCAGTTTTCAGAACATAATTAATTAATATAGAGAAAATATGGCATCGTTTAAAGGGGCTATACTGTATGTAGAATTCAGAAATTGTTGGTATTAGTCACACTGTTGCCCATTAGGTGAACCACAGACAGAAAATTGTTGCTTAAAGCTACAAAAAGTTTTCAGGTTTAAAATGACTTGATATTAATTTTGGGCAAGTACATAACCAGCCAGTGTTCAAAGCCATAACCCCATTCAAAAACATTGAGCTTGGAACAATTCTATTTGAGTGGCACCTGTTTCCACAGGAAATATGGGCTTGTTGCCATTCGTCTTTGCAACAATACACAATGTACACTCAACAGCTTACAAGTACCAGGTTAGACCCTTATTACATTCACAACTGCTTTAATCCTTTGTGGCATAGATTCAACAAGGTATTGGAAATATTCCTCAGAGATTTTGGTCTATATTGATATGATAGCCTCACGCACTTGCAGCAGATTTGCCAGCTGCACATCAATGATGTGAATCTCCCGTTCCACCACATGCCAAAGGTGCTCTATTGGATTGAGTTCTGGTGAATGTGGAGGCCATTTGAGAACAGTGAACTCATTGTCATGTTCAAGAAACCAGTCTGAGATGATTTGCCCTTTATGACATGGTGCATTATCCTGGAAGTAGCCATCAGAAGATATAGGGATATCATAAAGGGATGGACATGGTCAGCAACAATACTCAGATAGGCTGTGGCATTGACACAATGTTTAATTGGTACTAATGGACCCAAAGTGTGCCAAGAAATGTGCCCCACACCATTACACCGCCACCAACAGCCTGAACCATTGATAGAAAGCAGGATGGATTCATGTTTTTATTTTGTGAACGCCAAATTCTGACTCTACCATTGAATGTCGCATCAGCAATCGAGACTCTTTAGGCAACGTTTTTCCAATCTTCTATTGTCCAGTTTTGGTTAGCCAACCGGTGTGGTCTTCTGCTGGTGTAGCCCATCCACCTCAAGGTTGGACGTGTTGTGCATTCAGAGATCCTCTCGGTTGTATCGAGTGGTTATTTGAGTTTCTGTTGTCTTTCTATTAGCTCGAACCAGTCTGGCCATTCTCCTCTGACCTCTAGCATCAACAAGGTATTTGCCTTGATCTGCCACTCACTGGATATTTTCTTATTTTCGGACCATTCTCTGTAAACCCCTAGAGATGGTTGTGTGTGGAAAAACCCAGTAGATCAGCAGTTTCTGAAATACTCAGTCCAGACCGTCTGGCACCAACAACCATGCCACATTCAAAGTCACTTAAATCACCTTCCTTCCCCATTCTGATGCTTTTCCAACAAGCAGTTGGAAAGGTGTAATTAATAAAGTGTGTATGTATGTTTATATACAGAAGTTCTGGCTTTCATTGCCAAGTTCATTGCCTTTTATCACAGCGGCTGGAATTAAATTGTAAATTGTTAAAGAGATCAAGCTATAATCAACTTTAATTTGATTTTTGGGTTCAAAGAACAACTTCCTTACATGAAGTTAAAGATTAAACTGTAGACATATTGAAATCAACATGTAATGCTAATATGTTTTTAATTCATCCTGATGTCAACAGTTTTAAAACAAAGCATTTTCTCAGTTTGAAAAAAAGAAAAATCAATCAATCGGAACAAAACACTGTGACGATCCACATGGGATCATTAATATTTGATTCGAAACAATTTCTTTGTGAGATTACAACAATGATAATTTTTTCCCATATTTTTACGTTTATCTAAGATTGTATTAAACATTGCACATTGTAATATGTAAACAGTGCCTATAGGAAATCATCATACCCTGTGAAAATCTATACCATTACTCACATTATACCCTGCTTTCAAAAGACCTTTAGGATAAAGTTGTAGAAAGGCACAGTTTTAAACAGAGATGCCCAAAGTAAGGCCTATGAGTCAAAGTTGGCCCATTGTAACATTTGATTTGTCCCACCATCCCAACTTAGAGGATTGTGAGAATGATGGGGAGGTTTGGGGCGAATGCCATTAACACAGAGAACGTCATTATGAAACGGAAATTAAATAATTAAATCTTGTAAATGAATCAGATTGTTTAAAATAGAAATACTGTCAATTCAACAGAACTATGCAGAAGACATTGGCAAGCAAGTCACGGCAAAAACTACTGTAATTCTGTTATAAATGAGATTGTTTTGAGATTTCAAGGCTGGGACAGTTATTATAGTTTGATTTGATTGAAGGCTGCATGACAAATAAAGTCATTAATTCAAATGGGTATGATGATTTTCTATAAACACTATGGGCTCTATTTTGACGGTCCATGCACAAAACGCAGGGCGCAAATGCTTTCAGGGCGCGTGTCAGGACGCGTTTTTGCTAATTTAAGGACAGGAAATTTGCCTTGCGCTTCGGCGCATGGTCTAAAAGGGTTGAGTTTATTTTCTTAATGAGTTATAGGTGTGTTTTAGGAATAAACCAATTAGAGTCTCATCTCCCATTACTTTTAAGACCCAGCTGCGTCGCGCCAAGAGCGCATTCGCTATTTACAGGACGTAAAGTAAGTCTAAGTGGAAAAAATGAGCATTTCACAAGCAAACAGTTAACAGTTGACAGTTTTTTAACAGAAAACTGTTAAACAGAGCATCTACTGCATGAGAATGAGAGATAATGGATCACTTTCACTTTCGCTCTTGGATAGGGAAACCTTTACGCACAGACTTTAATTAGTCTATAAATAAATACTTTTGTTTGTTAAGCGCAAAGATTCGTTTCAAAACTATTTCTAAATTCAGTTCTAATTTCTAGCAAATGAATAAATGAATAATAATAACAAAATATGCTCAAAAACCTGAGTTATATCCTAAAACACATGCTTTGCCCTATATGGTCTAAAACCTGACAGGTGGGCAAATCTAAGCTTGTTTTTAACAAAACAAATATACATATGGATATAATAAATAATACTGCTAATAATAATAACATTATACAAAAGCAAATTGTTATGAATGAACTGAAAAACCTCTCGAGATGAAGAAAACATAAAAGCAGTGGTTTTTCATATTTATGTAGGCTAGAAAATAATGTTTTGTAATATTTTAATCCTTTATATTTATATTCTATATCTATTCTTATTATATCCTATATATATCCTTAATATTTACATTTTTTCATATGTAAAGATATTTGCCTATTGCTCTCTTGTGTGAATTAAGCAGTGCGTAAGCGAGGCGCAACTCTGCGCCGGAGTTTAGACCGGGTTAGTTTTGGTCTAATGAAAAATCTATTATAGATTCTCAAAATGGCAACGCGCCAGTGGTCCGCCTCAGAACGCCTTCCTTTTTAGACCAGCACGCCTATGGGCGCACAAATGAGCGCTAATGCATTTGCTATTTAAACAGCCTAGCGCAACGCCTCAAAACGACTCTTGCGCCAAGCTTAAACTACCAAAAGACTACTGCGTAACGCCTTGCGCCACACTGCGCCGGGTGTATGATAGGACCCTATATGTGGGACTATTATTTTGAAAAGGATTAGGCAAGGAGAGTAAAGGAGCAGTTCTGTAAAACATCTGTTCACAGCTAGTCAGAACACAGAATAAATGGATTCTAAATTTATCCAGTGCCACCGCAAAGATGTATAAAGCATTTTAAAAGCATCTTTTGTTATATTATTGTATATATTGAGAAATTTGTCTTATAGGTTTGTAATGAGGCAACAAACACATGTAACTGCTGAGTATAAGTGTTTAATGCACGTTTATGCATTGTGTAATATCACCTAACTCTTACTGTAATTTTACTTGAGTTAAAGAACAGCAATGAACATAATCTGTTTATGCAGAGGTTGATAATAATACCTGTCGGTGCTTTCATATATGTTAGATACACAAACACTCCAAATACACCTCTGTCAGCCCTTTTTTCGCATATAATTATAAATTAAACCACCTTTTTTCACAACATATACCTCAATATCAATAGCGTGTCACTGCAGAGCTCATTAGTATTCACAACTTTTCCAAATATGGTCAAACCCTAACTTTTTTATTTTAGACCAGAGGTCTCAAAATCAATTCCTGGAGGGCCGCAGCTATGTAAAGTTTTGCTCCAACCCTTAATCAAACAGTTTATGCAACTAATCAAGGTGTTCGAGACTCTTTTGATATTTACCTACTATGTAAATATCAGAGAACAATTTAACTTATTAAATGCACTCTATGGCACCTAAAATCATGTATGAAGCACAATTTTTATTTTATATTCTTATAAAAAATCTTATGTTTGTAAAATTGTCAAGACGTAGAATCTCTCACTCAACTACAGTATTCACATTGCATTAGGTTAGATTCAATAGATTCAACTCCACTGAACATACGCACTGACCCTCAACCCACGTAAAGAATATGCTTCTAAAAACAACTAGAATTGCACATTCAAAACAGAGATGGCAACAAAAGAGGCACAACTTAGAGACTGCATGTTTAAAGGGACAGTTCACCCCAAACTATTTAATAAACTCAGCATTTACTCACCATCAAGTGGTTTCAACACTTTAAGAGTTTCTTTTTTTCTGTTGAATACAGTGGAAGATATTTTATAAAATGTTAGAAACCTGTAACCATTGACTTTCATGGTAGGATAAACGAATAATGTAGAAGTTTAATAGTTACAGGTTTCACAAGTTTTATGCAATTTCCAATTTTTTTTTTAATTCCTTGTGTGTAAAACAGAAGAAAGAAACTCAAACAGGTTTGTGACATCTGAAGGGTAAGTAAAAGATGACAGAATCTTCAGTTTTGGGTGAACTATCCCTTTAATGTACTGAAGATTAAACGTGATTAAAGCTATTTATTTAAAGTTATTTGAAGTGGATATGCCGTTTGAGCTGCTGAGATGAAATACATTTTTCAAGCTTTTATTTTAAGTTTTTTTAAGTACAACAGAAAAAACAAGCAACATTGTCTCAATATACACACTTTGCAGGTAAATATAATATAAATCACCATACATGTAGGTTCAGCTGTTGGAGATACAAAATAGTGTTACAGAGTATGTAGTCATTAAAAAGTCGGTCACACTTTACAATAAGGTTCATTAGTTAATGTTAATTAATGCATTTACTAACATGAACAAATAATGAACAATACATCTACTACTGCAGTGGTTCTCAAACTGTGGTACGTGTACCACTAGTGGTACACAGGCTTCCTTCTAGTGGTACACGGAGGAATGAAATAGGCCTAGTACATGCTATACACATTTCAAAATTTATCAAAAATGATGTATATAATCTGCCATATATGACATATAGCCTATATATCCGAGGTAATCTGCAATGTTTTTTAACTTTGCAGAGTTGTAGCTGCTTTACTGGGCCTACTACCCTACTGTATTTCAATACTGCTAATTTTGGTGGTACTTGGAGAGACAGTTTTTTTTCTGAGGTGGTACTTGATGAAAAAAATTTGAGAACCACTGTACTACTTTATTTGTTCATGTTAGTTAACGTTATTTAATGAAAATACAGTTGTTCATTGTTAGTTTATGTTAACTCATGGTGCATTAACTAATGTTAACAAACATGGACTTGGATGTCAATAATGCATTAGTAAATGTTCAATTATGATTAATAAATGCTGTACATGTGTTGTTCATGATTAGTTCATGTTAGTAAATGCCTGAACCTTATTGTAAAGTGTTACCAAAAAGTCCTATAAGGTAGTGCACCAGTCAGTTTTCATGAGGGATGCTGGATTTGGATTGAGCACGTTTCAGGTCTAAGTGTGCGAGAAAGAATTTTTCGTTAGAATCGGACCTCACAAATCGGAGCTTTTCCAAGTGGATAATGGAGGCCATATCCACTAACCAGATTTAAAAGGAAGGAAGATGAAATGAATTTAGATGAATTTGTAAATATGTGCTTAAGTGTTTTTCTTTCAATAATAAAATAAAAACATAGAAATGACAACAGAAATGACAGCAGTGAGAAAACAGCAGTAATATACACTTTAAAACACCAGTTCATAAAAAGTTATTAGAATGTGTGATTTACAGGTGTTTTCGTTTATTTACAGTTATGAATTGCATCATGGGACCTTCTCTGTTGACTTTTAAAAATGAAAATTCAACTGTGCAGTTAAATTTTTGTGACTTTAATTGACATTTTAGTATAGTGTCAAGATATATTGTTTAAGGAATGCATATAAGTGACTATATTACTGTCAGTTTATTATCTGTTATTTTAACTGTAATGTACAACACCAATACAGACAATATTTCACTTCAAGCTATAAAATTTCCATAAAATGTACTATTTACAGCTTTTCAACATCACAAGCTTTTGGGGGAAAGATCAAGGTTTCATAATGCAGTTCAAAAGCATAAATATAAAAAAACCATGATTTACAAAATAATAATACTGCTAATTTATGGATATTTTTAACCTGTATTTATGTCAAGCTTTGCAACTAGCCTGCATTCTCTCAACAGATGTGGTCATTAAAAGTCGAATGTTATGATTTAATTATATGGATCTGGCTGTGTAAAACTATAGACTAGAGATATTATCAAACTCTTTGCATGTCAGAAAGACATTACAGTACAGAATGTTTTTTTTTCAGCTTTATCCTTAATGTTATAAGTATGAAATGGAAATCAATGGATGAAAGGCTCTCATGGGCATGCGTAAAGGACGCACGGTGGCTCAGTGGTTAGCACTGTCACAGCAAGAAGGTTGCTTGTTCGAGCCCCGGCGAGGCCAGTTGGCATTTCTGTGTGGAGTTTGCATGTTCTCCCTGTGTTGGCGTGGGTTTCCTCTGGGTGTTACGATAGTGTATGTGTGTGCATGACTGTGTATGGATGTTTCCTAGTACTGGGTTGCAGCTGAAAGGGCATCCACTGTGTTAAACATAAGTTGGATAAGTTGGCGGTTCAATCTACTGTGGCGATACCTGATGAATAAAGTGACTAAGCCGAAGGAAATTGAATGAATGAATGAAATGTCTCCAGTCTTTTGCATACAAATCTGTCTGCATAGACCAGTGGTCACCAAACTTGTTCCTGGAGGGCCGGTGTCCTGCAGATTTTAGCTCCAACCCTAATCAAACACACCTGAACAAGCTAATCAAGTACTTGCTAGGTATACTTGAAACATCCAGGCAGGTGTGTTTAGGCAAGTTGGAGCTAAACCCTGCAGGGACACCGGCCCTCCAGGACCAGGATTGGTGAACCCTGGCATAGACTATCATAGACAACCTAGGAAGCTGGTGAAGGTCTCATTTAAATAATGCCATTATTGGAATTTAGAATTGATTAAACAAATGTTCTCTTGAATATAAATCATATAGTGTAATAGTGTAAAAAATAGCAGGTGTCAGCGTCATTTTTAAAAATACTAAACACATTCCTATAAGCTTTACTGTATGCTAAATATCCAAATAAAAATAATCTGATAATTTGCATCTACTTTACTAAGATAGTTCACCCTAAATTGTTAATAACATTTATTCCTCCTTTACTTGTTTCAGACCTTTTTTCTTCCATTAAACCCAAACAGTTTTTGTTGATTTACAAAAAATCTAACAAACAATCCTATTGTACTACAACACTTTTTTGTTTTTGGTTTTATTGTAAAAAAACCAAGATATGTTAAATGAGAGTCTGAAATATTTTATGGCATATTTTAAAAAATAATTTAAGTGATTTAGTAATCACAAATGTTTTATTTTGATAATTGTTGTAATTGTAAAATAAACTGGTCATCACTTCATATTTTCAGATTTTTCATAGTATATGTATTAATTCCGGTACTTTTACCATAAACCAACATATCAGCCATTTGGTAGAAGCTGATATTTAAAAGATTCTAGGAATTGTTAAAAAATGCATTGTGTTAACTAGCAACATTAAGAGTTAATAAATGCAATCCAAAAATAGTTTTCTTGGTGGGGCAGTTAAATGGTTAAATCATTTAGTTCAGAAAGATCAAAAGTAAAATAAATGCAATTTGTATGTATAAGGAAACTCTAAAGATACAAATATGTGTGAAATTAAATCAAACTAATTCTTTCTGTTATTCTTTAAATCCTAAAATGCTTAATCTCGTAACTGACCAGTTCATGAACAAACGTTTTCCTTTATTGTGTTGCCTTAAAATAGAACATTCCAGAATGCCATATGGTACTATAATACAATAAAACGCACTGGTCCTCTAAGACTAATCTTTTTTTACTCTATTTATATATATATTCCTTTTAGAAAATCTAGCTTAATCTGTTGTTCTACCAATAAAACTCTTTAATATAAATAAATATATAATCTCTCTATACTGTATATGAGTTGTGTAGTGCATTAGACTTTGCAGTAGGAATTGTGCGGTGGGAATTGTCATACTATTTACATACTGTTGTCCCTTTTTTTTTTTTTTTTGCTTTGTTGCTTTGTTTCTTTTGGTAAATGTAAAAATATAAAAACAAACAAATATCAATAGGGGGCACGGTGGTGCAGTGGTTAGCGTTGCTGCCTCACAGCAAGAAGGTTTCTGGTTTGAGTCCTGGCTCTCCATGTTGGCATGGGTGTCCTCCGGGTGCTACAGTTTCCCCCACAGTCCAAACACATGCACTGTAGGTGAATTGGATGAGCTAAATTGGCCGTAGTGTATGAGTGTGTGAATGTGAGTGTGTATGGGTTACTGGGTTGCAACCAGAAGGGCATCCGTTGTGTAAAACATATGTCGGAATAGCCACCCCTGATAAATAAGGGACTAAGCAAAATGCCTGAACATCAATACATTATTTCAAACACACTTCAGGTCTCATATGTGTACAAATGTCAGTAATTTTACCTCTGCTTCGCCTTTCCACTTCTCACCTCTCCTTCTCTCTTTTTTATGCCTCTCAGCGGATCCGATCATCAGGGCTTTTGCTGCTGGAGATGATCCTGTGTGGCTCTCTGTTGCTTTACTTCCCAGTGAGTGTGTGATTCAAATCTTCTTTTCAGATTACGTTCACTGCAGCTCAAACCATAATAGCTGAGTGGCACTTTAGAGGCAGAAAATGATCAAGAAAATTACACAATTTATGGCTGCTGGCACGCTAAGCAACTGCAATGACAAAATGATATCAAGTTAAATATGCTAGCTATGATATACAGTTGAAGACAAAATTATTAGCCCTCCTGTGAAATGTTGATTATATTTGAATTATTTCCCAAATGATGTTTAACAGAGCAAAGTGTTTTTTCCACTATTTATTTCCAATTGAATGTTTTTTTTATTTTTTTTGGAGTAAGTCCTATTTCTTTTAGTCTGGCTGGAATAAATATTTTGTCTTCATTTGTAAATATGGTAGCTTGCTAATGTTGCACACCACACACACATACACTACCTGACAAAAGTCTTGTCGTCAATCCCAGTTGTTAGATCAACAAATAACTTGACTTCTAGTGGATCATTTAGAGAAGTGGCAGAAGGCAGATTTTTCTGATTTAATCATCTGTTTAACTACATCTCAATCATGCCAAATTCAGCAGAAGGTCTATTGGAACCCTCATGGACCCAAGATTCTTATAGAAATCAGTCAAGTTTGGTGATGATAAAATCAGGGTTTGGTTTTACATTCAGTATGGGGGGCGCATAAGAGATCTACAGCCTGGGGTTTCAAGACATTTGTATTTACATTACAAACTACAGGAGAGGGCAAATTCTTCAGGAGGATAGCACTCCTTCTAATAGTTCAGCCTCCACATCAAAGTTCCTGAAAGCAAAGAAGGTCAAGGTGCTCCTGGATTGGCCAGCCCAGTCACCAGAAATGAACATTATTGAGCATATCTGGGGTAAGATAAAGGAGACATTAAAGATAAAATCCAAATCATAAGTCTGGCAAGAACACTTTATTTGTCACTTCAGATGACTTGATTAATAAGTTATTTGAGTCATTGCAGAGATGTATGGATGCAGTCCTCCAAGCTGATGGGAGTCAAACACAATATTAATTTTTTTCCACTGCACCATGATTTTATATTCTATACTGTACATTATTTCTGTTAAGTGACAAGACATTTGTCTAAGCAAAGTCAAACCTTACTGTCCTAATTAAACAATTAAAAATCAAGGCATGAACATATTTTAATTTGGTAAAATAAGTCTAATCTAGAGGCCTTTGCCTTTCATATAAGCCACTTCTAATACCAAATGATTAACCAGAAGTCAAGTTATTATTTTTTTGTTTTTAAAACTTGGATAGGTGACAAGACTTTTGTCAGGTAGAGTACAACATGATAGTGTCTTACATTGTTTACTTTTATTTTAACTTTTTATCTAGTATACTTATTATGTATATATTATTTACAGTGCATTCGGAAAGTATTTATAGCGCTTCACTTTTTCCACATATCTTTGTTACAGCTTTATTCCAAAATTGATTAAATCAATTAACAATGTGAAAAGATTTTTTTTTAATTGTTGCAAATTTATTTAAAATAAAATAACTGAAAAAAAATCACATGTACATGAGTATTCACAGCCTTTGCTCAATACTTTGTTAATGCACTTTTGGCAGCAATTACAGCCTCACGTCTTTTTGAATAAGATGCCTCAAGCTTGGCACACCTGTCTTTGGGAATTTTTGCCCATTCCTCTTTACAGTACCTCTCAAGCTCTATCAGGTTGGATGAGAAGTGACGGTGTAAGCTATTTTTAGATTTCTCCAGAGATGTTCAATAGGATTTAGGTCTTGGCTCTAGCTAGGCCACTCAAGGACATTCACCGTGTTGTTGTGGCTGTGTGCTTTGGGTCATTGTCCTGCTGGAAGATGAACCGTTGCCCCAGTCTGAGGTCAAGAGCACTCTGGTTTTTATTTGAGATATCTCTACATTGCTGCATTCATCTTTCCCTCTAGCCTGGCCAGTCTTCGTTTTCATGCTGCTAAAAAACATCCCTACAGCATAATGCTGCCACCATGCTTCACTGTAGGGATGGTATTAGCCTGGTGATAAGCGGTGCCTGGTTTTCTCCAAACATAACGCCTGGCATTCACTCCAAAGAGTTCAATTTTAGTCTCATCAGACCAGAGAATTTTGTTTCTTATGATCCTCCAGATGCCTCCTGTCTGGCCACTCTACCGTAAAGGCCTGATTGGTGGATTACTGCACAGATGGTTGTCCTTCTGTAATGTTCTCCTCTCTCCACAGAAGAGCGCTGAAGCTTAAACAGAGTGACCATCGGGTTATTGATCACCTCCCTGACTAAGACCATTTTCCCCTGATCACTGACCTTAGATTATCGGCCAGCTCTAGAAAGAGTCCTGGTAGAGATAAAGGCCACAGGGCTCATTGGAACTTTCAGTGCAGCAGAAATTTTTCTCTAACCTTCCCCAGCCTTATGCCTCGAGACAATCCTGTCTTGGAGGTCTACAGATTATTCCTTTGTCTTCATGCTTGGTTTGTGCTTTGACATGCACTGTCATCCTGGTCCCTGGGAAAGGTGTATGCCTTGGAAAGGTGTATGCCTTTTCAAATCATGTCCAATCAACTGAATTTACCACAGGTGAACTCTAATTAATTGAATTTTCCAGCATTTACTCTAGTATTTAGGTTGATAATATCCTTCAGAAATCATTGCAATCCTAATTTAGTAACTGTGAAATGTTTTCTATTAATATCAATATTGTTGTTGCTGCTTAATATTTTTCCTTAAATCTATGAATCTGTTGGAATCTATTTTTCCAGGATTCTGAATATAAAGTACTGCATTTATTTTTACTAGCAACATCATATCATCATTTTTCTTTTGCTAAAAAAAAGTAAATATATATATATATATTTTTTTTTAGCAAAAAAAAAATTATGATATGATTATACCATGGAATGTTGTGATCGACCGACCAATCAGAATTAAGCATGCTTGTGAGCAGTTTAAAAGTATTTAATAATATTAGAATACTTCAGGGGAAAGAAAATCAATCAAATTCACTCTTGTTTTTTTTTTTTTGTTTTTTTTTTTTAACATTTTGATTTTAAACAAAGCCTGAGATCCAACCAACAAAAAGTGTAAAATACAATAAAAACAGTAATATTGTACTAATAAATACAAAATCAGAATTGAAACATAAATGATACTGTCTCTCTCATATTTAATCAAAATTGTAAAATAAAAATTTTAACTGGCACCATTTATTTTGGCTGTGGTGTATTCCAAACTAACAATGTCCAGTAGATAGAGCCTCCAGGATAGATCAGTTTGTGCAGATGGATCCAGCCATAGTTTCAGGTTTTTTTTTCCAACTTACAGAATCTTTTTTTGGTTGATGGATAAGTAGAGTGATGAATCATCCTTGAAATTGCTCTCTTGAAGAAACACCCCACTTTTTTGCACTTACAAGCCCCATAGAGTTAAACAGTTGAGTTATACCAATTCTGAATCCATTAGGCCAATCTCCCAGTCTGGCAGGAGCATTTTTAACTTGGAATAAATCATTGAATCCGATTAGACTATTAGCATCTTGCGAAAACAAATCATTATAATCAAGGATTTTTGCATAATAAGCAACTTTGCTGTCGTACCGTGCCTGCAGCAGGTGCAATGATATAATGCAACACCTGAAAATAGGTAGCTAGATAACTAGGTAACCTGCTGCAGCCATGGTATGGCAGCAAAGTACATTGATTATTACACTGGAATTAAGGTATACTTCCTAGCCATATCGGCCTAGAAAATGGAAACTTTCCATTTTCCATTGTCTTCGTACACAAGAGTCAAGCTTTAAATAAATACTTAAAACTCTTTTTGTTTGAGTGAGAAGCTAATGGTCTAATCTGATTAAATTATGTATGCTACGCTAAGCTAAAAGTACTCACACCAGACATTAAAATAGCTAATGAATAAAAAAAATTGTTAAATTCAACTGTTTAACTCGATGGAGCTGTAAAATTAGTCTATTAAAAGTGAAGTGTTCCTTTAATGACCCAAACTTTGTGCATTTACATCTAATAATTTTGTTTGCAGGTTTTCATTCTGTACTTCAAGCCCAGCACTTTCCGGTGTATTCTCCTCCGTTGGGTTCGTCTGCTTGGTTTTGCCATTGTTTATGGAACTGTGGCACTCAAGATGTACCGGTGTGTGTAACACTTCAGTCCTGTCATCTCAAATTCATCAAACTCAGCCCTCCTTTCTAACTGTGTCACCTGTGCATCTGTCAGATTCAGTGTTGTGGAATAAGAAACTATTCTTAAAACATTCAAAGATGCACTCACGAGTAACATTTTTGTGGTATTTATGCCATTTTAAACTGTTTGATGATATATAATCCAAAATGTGACCAAAATTGTTAGAAACTTCAAACATTTGAATGCTAGTATAGTTTACCAAAGCATTCTGTGCACTTAGATACATGTAATCAATCAATTTACAACTAAAAAGGGATGGCTACCAGGATATCTACATACAGAGTAAAAGGTGTTTATTTAATTTATTTTTAAAAAGGGAATAATTTAGTTGCCTTACAAGTGACAAATTGACTTAACTTAAAATGTGTAAACCAATGGGGTATATGCACACAGACTTTTAATTTCATTCAGCCAGTCCCAGGGCTTCTGGTTAATTGTCATCCCATACTAAATCACGGTGTTTAAGATCTGATTTCTTTAAAACAACAGCGATCTTATACGATATAAAGTGGTTATCAGACCAAACAAGAAGCACTGCATTCAATTATATTTTTCCATGCCATGTCTTTAAAAAATACTGGGGTAAATTTAATTTCCGTATTATAATGAAATTTCTGCGGTGGCCTGCAGCTAATGATGGTGCCTGTATTTCAAACAGTCTTTCGTCTCCTTTTATGATTTAACAACCAAATGGATGCTTACTGTAAGTCTATTTAACTGATCAGATTTTAATTACATTACAACATCAATGCTGTAAAAGGAACCTGATGAAATTGTAAACAGTCTCATAAAGCTTTCACCGGAAGTTTATCATTGGCTAAAAAAACATTAGCTGTGCATATAGCCCATTGTAACTTGACACTGTTTAGTTTACTTAAATTTAATAATTAAGCACATACAGTGGGGATCGAAAGTTTGGGCACCCCAGGTAAAAATTTGAATTAATGTGCGTAAAGAAGCCAAGGAAAGATGGAAAAATCTTCAAAAGGCATCAAATTACAGATTAGACATTCCTTTAATATGTCAAAAAAAGTTAGATTTTATTTCCATCATTTACACTTTCAAAATAACAGAAAACAAAATAATGGCGTCTGCAAAAGTTTGGGCACCCTGCAGAGTTTATAGCATGCACTGCCCCCTTTGGAAATCTGAGACCTGACAGTGTCATGGATTGTTCTCAATCATCGTCAGCAAAGACCAAGTGATGTCAATCTTAAAGGTTTTAAATGCCCAAACTCATCCAACTCATCTGACCTTGCCCCAACAATCAGCATCATGGGTTCTTCTAAGCAGTTGTCTAGAAAACTGAAACTGAAAATAGTTGATGCTCACAAAAAAGGGAAAAGGCTATAAGACGATAGCAAAGCGTATTCAGATGCCAATCTCATCTGTACGGAATGTAATTAAGAAATGGCAGTCATCAGGAACAGTTGAAGTTAAAGCAAGATCTGGAAGACCAAGAAAAATATCAGACAGAACAGCTCGCAGGATTGTGAGAAAAACAAGTCAAAACCCACGTTTGACTGCACAATCCCTCCAGAAAGATCTGGCAGACACTGGAACTGTGGTACACTATTCCACTTTAAAGAGATACTTGTACAAATATGGTCTTCATGGAGTCATCAGAAGAAAACCTCTTTTACGTCCTCACCACAAAAAAACAGCGTTTGAACTTTGCAAATGAACATATAGACAAGCCTGATACATTTTGGAAACAAGTTCTGTGGACCGATGAGGTTAAAATAGAACTTTTTGGCCGGAATGAGCAAAGGTACGTTTGGAGAAGAAAGGGCACAAAATTTAATGAAAAAAACCTCTGTCCAACTGTTAAGCATGGAGGTGGTTCAGTCATGCTTTGGGCTTTTATTGCAGCCAGTGGCACAGGGAACATTTCACGAGTAGAAAGAGAAATGAATTCAATAAAATTTCAGCAAATTTTGGATGGTAACTTGATGCCACCTGTAAAAAAGCTAAAGTTAAAGAGAGGATGGCTCCTACAAATGGATAATGATCCTAAACACACCTCAAAATCCACAATGGATTACATCAAGAGATGTAAACTGAAGGTTTTGCCATGGCCTTCACAATCTCCTGACCTCAACATTATTGAAAATCTATGGATAGACCTTTAAAGAGCAGTGCATGACAGACAGCCCAGAAATCTCAAAGAACTGAAAGACTTTTGTAAGAAAGAATGGGCAAAGATACCTCAAACAAGAATTGAAAGACTCTTGACTGGCTACAAAAAGCGTTTACAAGCTGTGATACTTGCCAAAGGGGGCAGTACAAGATTTTAACTCTGCAGGGTGCCCAAACTTTTGCAGACGCCATTTTTTTGTTTTCTGTTATTTTGAAAGTGTAAATGATGGAAATAAAATCTAACTTTTTTGACATATTAAAAGAATGTCTAATCTGTAAGTTGATGCCTTCTGGAGATTTTTCCATCTTTCCTTGGCTTCTTTATGCACATTAATACAAATTTTTACCTGGGGTGCCCAAACTTTCGATCCCCACTGTAGTTCATTTACGTAATCACCTTTTAAAGTAATGTCAACTAATCATTTAAAAAGCTAAGCATTTACTCAATTTTTCTGAGTAAAATCAACTATTTCCTTTTAACAGTGTGTTGGCCCCATGATTTGACCTCAGAGCAAAAACTTCCTCCTGGTCAATGACAAACCAAAGGGTCTTTCAATTGTCAGCACAATAAAAGTTTAAAACAGATTAATTTTATTATCATACATTAGAGTAAGTTTGGTTTAAATACACATTAAAAATCACTGTATTTTGTATTTTATATGCGTTGTACTTACAAAAAAGTTATAAAGTACTTTTTCAAAATGTACACTTTTGTATTTTTATGTACTAATATGTACACTTTAGGTACTAAAATATAGATTCTTTAAAATAGTAAATTTTAATTCTGTAATTAATATTAATTATTAACCCTTCCAACTCCTGAGACTTTTATTCATTTTTGGAAAACAAATTAAATTAAATATTTTAGATGAGCTCTTTGACCCTCTATAGACAGCAATGATCATGGGATGTTCAAAGTCCAGAAAAGGAACCAAAAACATTGTCAAAACATTGCATGTGACTTCAGCGATTTAGCTGTACATCATACGATTCTCAGAGAGAATGTTTTACACTTGAAAAAGTACCTATATCTTCTCTCCTACGTCAGGGGATCGTTTACTAAAAGCTCTGGTATATTTCAAACATAATCAAAGAATGAACTGATCCTGCCAAATCGTTTCGGCAGTTTGAAACTGCTCACCAAAGCAAACCTTTGGGAAGTTCGTTTTGGCTCCTAAATTCCTTCTAGCTACCATTGGTCTGTGACAATTATGCAGTCTGTGGGTGTGTTCTGGAACTTTACCTTCTTTGACGTGCAATTTGTCTTCCCTCGATTTGTTTCTCATTCCACTAGGGTTGAACAGCATTCAAAACAACAACACTAGCCAGATGAATACACTGGAGAGTCAAGTAGCAGAGCTGGTACAGATATATCCGCACCTGTAATATTGCTTATAGAAAGACTTTATTTGTTTAATTTAAGGATATGGCACACAGTGGTAGCACTTCCCGTTATGTACTAGATGTTTACAAAACTCTTTTAGCTGCCATTTTGTGTTTAGGGGTATACCTGAGCAGCTCAAATAAAGAAAGAATAAACATGTACTCTGAAATGCAGGGCCTTAATGCCAATTTTGCTATATTGCCATTCGACTCAACAGTGCTACGTGCAAGTGTCCTATTTCCCGTAGTAAACACACATCCTGACCTGACACAGGTGCTTTGTCAAGTGCTTTGAGCTAGTCAAATGGAATGTTTCTTTTGTGGATGGAGGGTTCTTATGTTGTCTATGGAGGGTCAGAGAGCTCTCAGAATTCATCGAAAATATTTTAATTTTTGTTCCATTGATGAACAAAGCCCTCAATGGATTGGAAAACCATGAGGGTGAATATTTAATAACATAAGATTTTTGTACAAACAGACCTTTTGAAAAGGTACTGAAACGGTGACAACTTTTCTACACTGAAAAAAATGCTGAGTTCAACACAATTGATTTGAATTGGGACAACATGAAGAAATTAAGCTAGCTCATTAATTTTTATACATTTAAGTGAACTGAACTTCAAACAATTAAGTTGTTCCCAAAAAAACTTAAAGAACTGTGTTGTTTCAGCTCATTTTAAATAAGTTATATGAACAAACAGCAAATGTCATTTTATTCATCACGATTTAGAAACGTAATTTAACTCTAATTAAAGCAGTCGACCACAATATAAAATCTGACATGTGCTGTTTGTTTAAAATACTTCATTAAAATAAGCTGAAACAACACAATTCTTGAGTTTTTTGGGGACAACTTAAAGGATTTATTTTCTATTCACTTTAATTTGTAAAAAAAACTATTAAGCTAACTTAATTCGATAATGTTTGTCCCAATACAGATCTTGTGTGGAACCCAGCATTTTTTTTATAGTTCACGCTATCATTTGTTTCAGGGTTCTAAAGGTGTTCCTGTCACGAACTGCCCAGCGAGTACCATACATCACCACCACTGGAGTGCTGAGGATGCTGGGAGTGATGGTGCTCACTGTCAGCTGGTTTCTGTGCGCATGGACAGTGGGTGTCCTACAAAACAGAGACCGAAACGTCCCACTTCTCATCATATCCACTACCTCAGAAGGACAAGGCTTCAATGTGTGCGATCTGGACCGATGGGACTACATGATGGCAGTCGGTATGTAATGTCAAATAAAGTAATGTTTAAGTAACACACAGTTGAATTAACCCTCACAATTATTAACCCTCCTGTGAATTAACCCTCCTTTTTCAAATATTGCCCAAATGATGTTTAACAAAGCAAGGAATTTTTCACAGTATTTCCTATAATATTTTTTCTTCCAGGAGAAAGTCTTATTTGTTTTAATTTGTCTAGAATAAAGGCAGTTTTTAATTTTTAAAAAAACATTTTATTGTAATATTATTAGCCCCTTTAAGCAATATATTTTTTCGATTGTCTACAGAACAAACCATCTTTATACAATGACTTGCCTAATTACCCTAACCTGTCTAATTGACGTATTTAAGCCTTTAAATGTCACTTTAAGCTGAATACTAGACTGTTTAAAATATCTAATAAAATATTGATGTACTGTCATCATGAAAATGATAAAAGAAATCTGTTATTAGAAATTAATCATTAAAACTATTATGTTTAGCAATGTGTTGAAAAAAATCTTCTTTCCATCGAACAGAATTTGGGGAAAATATATACAGTGGCTAATAATTCAGGAGGGCTAATAATTCTTACTTCAACTGTATTTTTTGTTTTGTTCTGTAAATTACTGATGGCATTTCTTATTTCAAAGGCTTTGTTCTTGTATATAAAATAAAAACAATAAAAGCTCAATGTCATCAATGTGAAACATATTCAAAATATCACAAAAAAGACTGGTGCCAGTGTAGTTGCTTTTCTTGGGTGTCTGGCAAAGAGATTAATTGAAATTGGGGCACATTAGTAGATCAGACAAATGAAAGGATGAATGGTGCTGGATAATTTAATGTTCTTTGAAGCATTTAGTTGATGATCTGAACACAGTTAACCACTGTCATTGGATATGATTCTGCATTATAACCACTACCTACCATACTAATAATGCAGCACAACAAATAACAATAATGTTACCGCTTCATTGTCATAAGTACATGAAACATTGACCTGAAACGACACAGTAAGAGATGAAATAGATTTGCACAATCATTCTGGCACTTTCAGAATGACTTTTAATGTTCAAAGACAGTTTATACAACAAGCCTTCTATTATTTATTCTGCCACATGTCTTTTAATACTTAATATTGTCAGTTTATATGTATATGAACAATATCACATAAGTAGCTGTGTAATATGGCTGTATATCGGCACTGGTGGGAGGCATGTGGCCGAGTCACGATATACAGCCATTTTGCACTGCTACGAGTGTGATATTGTGTTTATACAACAGTTCAATGGCATAATTGTGTATATAAAAAAGAAAAATCAACCACAAGAATCTAAAAACACTTTTGTATGAGGAACTACTTTCTTCAGCCATTCCTTCACATCTGCAGCTGACGTCAGAACAGCAAAAACTGTTGCTAATTCACCAACGTCACTTTAGAGCTAGTGTTTGAATAGTTCTCTATCGTAATGTCTAAAGTGATGACAAAACAGGCGATTTTGCTCACATTTTAAGATTATAAGGCTGAACGGCATAAAGATTTCCCAGTATTTCTCTGTTGCAATCGGGATATCAGAATATTAACCCCAAAAAAGCCAACGCTTAACACATGCAGGCATTTCTTTTTTCTTTTTACTGAACTAGTCTGCAGTAACAAAAACAGGAGAAACAAACAGAGGGCCAACAAAAAAGTAACTCTGGGTTATACAAAGAGTGGCCAACAAAAAATACACACATTCCTCAATACTCAATACAATACAATTACTATGGTATAAATACAGCACTGCAACAAAGAGAAAGAGAGACATCGACTTAGTCACTTACCTGTTTAATAATTATTTGATCAGCTTAAGTTAGAAATTATGATGTTTTTCTTTTCTAAGGGCTTATTTTGCTGCATCTTGTGGATGGACATCAACCGTCTTTGCTCTGCTCAATGACATGCTAATTGTCATCTCTCAAAAATTATAAATATTTAAAATAGGCTCTATCCTTATAAATAAACTGCAAAGTTGCAATCTAAACACTTACATTCTCAACTAAAAATGCCTCAAAAGCACACTTTAAAAAGTGCCCAACAACAGCAATATTTGTCAAACTGCAGACGAAAGTGTAGAGCGGACAAAATTAAATAGAGTGCTGGGGAGTCGTGGAAGAAAGTGAAAGTGAACAGCAGATGGGGAGGAGGGCAGTTAAAGAGGGGCATCAGTAAAATAAGGTGCAGGATCAGATTTATTATTTAAGCCCTGTATGTATGTATGTATGTATATACATGTGGTAAAAGCATAGCTTATCTTTTTCTAGATTGCTTTTGAAAACACTGGAAGGGGGTGATCGGGTCAATCAGTGCTTTTGAAAACACTATCGGTTGGGTTAGGAAAGGGGGTGGGTGGGGGGCATCGGTCAGCTGGACAGTCAGTCAATTGACAGCAGCCTCTGGTGGATTTATGTGAGAACAGCAGTCGCAAATGGCACTCACCAGAGAAATCTGAGAACTGAAAAAGCGTACACAGCAGCCTCTAGTGGATTTGCGAAAAACAAAAACTGCAAAAAAAAAAAAAAAAGTTCCTCCTGGGATGTATTTCACGACCTCCAGAAATGTATATAGCGGTACTTAATAATGAGCCTGGCTTGCAACAAAAAACATATTATGTTTACATATAATTGTCCTTCTCTCTCAGCGGAGCTGTTGTTCCTGTGCTGGGGGAGTTTTCTATGCAGCGCAGTGAAGACTGTACCTTCTGCATTTCATGAACCACGTTACATGAGCATCGCCATCCACAATGAGCTACTGCTGTCCTCCATGTTTCATTTGCTCAGGTAAAAAGAAATGGAAAAATAAAATCCAGCCAAAACAAAGTTCATTTCAGGTTCGTTTAGGCAGCTCATCAAAGCAAACTTTTGGAGGAGTTTGTTTTGGCTCCTAAACACCTTTGAGCTACTATTGGTTCATGATGTTCTGGAATTCCAGAAGGTTTGAAAACAGTATAGTCACATTCAAACTTGTTTTTGGCCTCAAACGAAAAATGAAAAAGAACTTTGTTTGAAGAACATCAAGGTTTTAAATCAGGGATCACCAAACTTGTTCCTGGACGGCCGGTGTCCTGCAGATTTTACCTCCAACCCTAATCAAACACACCTGAACAAGCTAATCAAGGTCTTACTAGGTATACTTGAAACATCCAGGCAGGCGTGTTGAGGCAAGTTGGAGCTAAACCCTGCAGGGACACCGGTCCTCCAGGACTGAGGTTAGTGACCCCTGCCTTAAATGATGGCAAATAGTTTTTTGTTTTTTTTGGGGTGAAATATCCCTTTTCAGCTAATTCTAAGAGTTTATTCTATTGATGACTTTGTCATTTCAGATTTGCCAGACCGTCAATTCATCCTGACTGGATGCTCTTGCTGTTCTTCACTCACACGCATGTCACTATTACTGTTACACTCGGCCTGCTGTTTGTACCCAAGGTATTGATAATCCTTTTTAATATTATTCGATTGTAGTTAGTTAAAGGTGTCCTCCAGGCTTTATCAAAAACTGCATGGTTTAAGTCTTGGGTAAAGGTTGGAATTAAACTCTGCAGGGATCCAGGAACTGAGTTTGAATTCCCTGCAGTAGATTAAATGATTTTTTTATAAAATTAGCTAAAGATAAGTTTCTCACAATATTATTGGCATTAAAAGGAATGGTTCGGTTTTAATAGGTTACACGTGTCAAAGTGTCAATTTTTGAAAACAATACACTGAAAGAAATGACTTTTTGGTGTAGTAAAATCTAATAAATTTATTGTCATAATAAATTTGTATATTTAATATTTACACATTTAATGATGCGATAAATGAGTAGAAAGAGTTAATATTATCATATTAATTTACTTGTAATATTTAAATAGCTTTGATCATTGCAAACTTAGTAATATTAAGTAAAGTTTAAAATAGATATGTCATAATGGATGTGTGGTTGAGAAAGAAAAGTGTTGAGTAAGTTTGTTAGTTTTAACGTTACCACCTTGCAGAAGAGTAGCACTTGTGCTTAGGGTCTTGGCAGTTTTGTTTGACACTTCACCCAGTAAGCATTTTTAAACAAAATTTGCTCTTGGGTTAATTTAGCTTAAAATAATGTGAAATTACACATTTGAGGTCAGTGGAAATACATTCTTAATTAAACTTTGTTACACCAAATGTGCTAATTTGTAACTATAAGATTAATTTGATTAACGCAACGTTCCTTCTAAAACAAGAACTGTACATTACTTGATTAATTTAAATAAATTAACTTTACCTTAGTTTAGTTAGGTTAAACATTAAGTAAACTTTACATAATATCAACAAGTAAATTGTACCAAATATAAGATTTATGCTACACGATCTGTAACATTTAAATTGTTACAAGGATTTTTAAAGTAAATCTTCAGTTATTTTCTTTAGTATACGATTATCATCTTGTGCTTGTGTGAAATCAAGAAGTACAAAAATTAATTGCTGACACACATTGTTATTCTTTAGGTGAACGATTAATCCGTTCAAGTTAATCCACTGAAAAAAAGTTTGTTTTGGTAATCTTCAAAGTCTGAGCATCTGCTTATGCATTTGGAAGAATGCGATCCTTCTCTGTGGATGTCAGTTTGACGGCTTCAGCCACAATATTCTTAACCATCCCCCTCTTACTGTTTGTTTGCTATGAAAGAACACACATAAAAAGCCCCATCCCCTACTTAATTCTCCATTTCAGTTGGAAGTATATTAACATATGGAAATGAAAGTCTCAGTAACTGCTGGTTTATGAGGTTTTTAACACGAAAAAAAAAAAAAAAAAGATTTTTGTGAAATTGCACATTACCTAAAAGTGCTTGACAACTATGGCCCTTTTACAATGTAGATTGTGTCAAAGCAGCTTAACATAGAAGTTCTAGTAAATTGAAACTGCGTCAGGTCAGTTTTCAGAGATTAAATTCAGTTCAGGACAGTTCAGTGTGGTTTAATTTTACTGCTAAGAGTCCAAACACTGAAGAGAAAATCCATCGATGTGCAGATCCACAAATCCCAAACCAAGCATGTGGTAACAAGGGCGAGGAACAAGCTTCACTAATTGACGAAAAAAAAAAAACTTGAGAGTAACCTGGCTCAGTTGGACATGACATATTCTCCTTAAAACAACAAACGAGCTATTCTAAAACAACAGTAGCATGTTTGCACAGAAGCACAATGCTTCTTTACAATGTGACATCAACTTCTGGTCTGGCATGCCTAAGCTGATGTCAATGTGTTTCTGCCACTGAATAAAAAATAAAAAAGTTTATTGAGATCCTTTTTTTTCTCAGAACTGTGTGATACACCACCTGACAAAATTCTTGTCGCCTATCCAAGTTTTAGGAACAATAAATTGACTTCTAGTTGATAATTTGGTTCATAAATGGCTAATATGAAAGGCAAATGCCTGTAGATTACGCTTATTTTAACAAATTAAAATATGATCATGGCTTGATTTTAAATGATTTAATTAAAACAGTAAGGTCTGACTTAGCTTTGACAAAAATCTTGCCACTTAACATAAATAATGTACAGTATGAAAGATAAAGTCATGGTGCAGTGGAAAAATAATTAATATTGGGTTTGACTCCCTTGAGCTTGGAGGACTGCATCCATACATCTCTGCAATGACTCAAATAACTTATTAATAAAGTCATCTGGAATGACAAAGAAAGCATTCTTGAAGGACTCCCAGAGTTCTTCAGTGTTCTTTGGATTCATCTTCAATGCCTCCTCCTTATTCCAGACATGCTCAAAATTGTTCATGTCTGGTGAGTAGGCCAGCCAATCTTGGAGCACCTTGACCATCTTTGCTTTCAGGAACTTTGATGTGGAGGCTAAAGTATGAGAAGGAGCGCTATCCTGCTGAAGAACTTGCCCTCTCATGTGGTTTGTAATGTATTGCGCAGCACAAATTTCCTGATATCTTAGGGTGTTGATGTTGCCATCCACTCTGCAAATCTCTTGCATGCCCCCATACTGAATGTAACCCCAAAACAAGATTTTTCCTTCAGCAAACCTAACTGATTTCTGTGAGGATCTTGGGTCCATGCTGGTTCCAATAGGTCGTCTGCAGTATTTGTGATAAGTGGGATGCAGTTTAACAGATGATTCATCGGAAAAAATCAACCTTCTGACACTTTTCCAAATGATCTACTAGAAGTCAAGTTATTATTTGTTGCTTTTACAACTTGGATCAATGACAAGACTTTAGGTACGTCTTGGTTGTCAGGTAGTGTATAGTGGCTGACACGCAGGAATGCAAAAAAATGACTTCCTGAAAAAACAAGCATAGTGTTATTCCTACAACAAAATCAAAATTTCTTGCTTACTGAAACCATGGCAAAAATATGTGTTGTATTTTATTCTGAAATTCTAGTTTATTCAAATTAGTAAGCAAAAAGTTGTTTGGATGTGCATTTTGCTGGTTATTTTTAAAACTTTGCATTGAAGCATTCTCTAGGGCTAATATTGCTCAATACCATTTGTGTACTAGAAGAAAAGGGTTTTACTCTTAAAAAGTAAAATAGCAAGTATGCAAAGTAGAAGCTTTTAACATGCAGTAGGATGTTTTGTGTCCCATGTACAAATCAGGATTGTTATTTGTTGCAGTTTCTCCATATGTCACAACCAGGCAGAGAAGAAATAGCGGCAGAGGTATATGAGGATGAGGTGGACTTGCGACGTTCGTGTTCTTACCTCAACAGTAGCTTCACCTCGAACTGCTGGAGTGACCAAAGTTTGGACCCTGATGACATTCGGGTAAAACATCTTGGCCTGAAACTGCCCTTTTAGCACACGCGTGCTCACACTTCCTTATTGAAAAGCACACTTCTGTTAATAACAGAGATATCACCTTTTATTGAGGTGAATAATAAAAATAAACAGTCTAAACTACGAGCAACAAATGGGAAATAGTGTAGCAAGGAAGTGAGGGGAAAGAGAGGGGTAACAGGATTGGGACATGAACTTGGTCAGACTTCCCCAAGAGCCAACATGAGCTCCTGAGAGCCTTTGACAACTCTATTATTGAAAACAGTAGAACCAAATGACCTTGTGTTAGCCTTCTCCTCCTCCTCTGCCTTAATTTGCCCTGTTTTGAAGTATGACCCTAAAACTCGTTGTCTTTTGAACATCTTGTTTGTATAGTACATGCCATCACAAAAGCTGTCCTACTATATTGCTCCCTATAACTTTCCTCAACTGAAACCCTTTTTCTCCTCTGCACCAGGATGAGCTGAAGAAACTGTATTCTCAGCTGGAAGTCCACAAGACCAAGAGGATGGCAAACAGCAATCCCCACCTTCCAAAGAAGCGTAGCTCTCGTCTCAGTATTGGACGATCTATTATAAAACGTATCTCTGAGATCCCAGAAAGTTTGAGCAGACAATGTAGCCGTGAAGACAAGGATATCAGTGCTGCAATAGGAACTATAACACGATCGGGATCTTATTACAAATGTCATCAAACCACAAGTATTAACACTATAAATGAAACTTTAATGCAGCCTTCTCCAAAGCTGCGGAAGTCCCATAGTGCCTATGATTGTACCCCAGAAAAGGAAGCCTCTTTATTAAACTCCTCCATGAAAAGATCAACAGAAAAGAGGCACTCACAGCATTCTGATGCAGGATCTATCAATACAACACTGCTGATCTGCAAGTCTGCCAGTGCCCACAATCTATCGCTAGATACTAACCTTTTACTTCCCGAGCCCACCAGGTTTCAAAAGTCACTTAGTGTAATAGAACGCAATGACCATCGCTCTGTGACACCGTGTAGAAGCATTGAAAATGTGTCAATTTCTATCAAACCTACCCCAGCAGAAAGGCCACCCAAGCTGACTGTGGATGTTGACATAAAGAGGCAGACTTCTAGTGCCTTGCTGTCAGAGTCCTTTGACAAGGCAGAGGTCTGCCCATGGGAGGTTCCAGAGGAGCTCCCTGCAACCAAAAATCTAAAACATGTCACATATTCCATCTCAACACAGGAAGAACCAAAATCGCCTGGTGCTCTGTCATCACCAACATTGTTATACGTTTGTCCGTGGGAATACCTGCCACCTCCTTCTCCCCCTGCAATTGAAACTGGGAATGGTATTCAGTCAGAAGTTGATTCCACAAAACCCAAACCTCCAATATCTTGTAGTGCTCCTGGGTCACCACATACAGTTTCTGGCAAGCCAAAAGAATTTCGGGTTTTCTCTTTCCGCTCCACTACACAAAATCTCCTTGCAGCAAAGGGTGTTGGGGAACTTGCAAGAAGCATGAGCAGAGAGAAAAGCCTACAAGAAAGTAACGTTAGGGAGGGAACACTACAAAAATCTCAGTCTACATCCATGAGATTATCTCCAGGCAGTGCAGCTTCAGACAAACGTACCCCACAGACACAAAGACGGGCTATGACTACTATAGGAACAAAACCTTCCCTTGTGAAACAAACAGCTGTACGGCTGCCATCAAATGATTCTCCCGAAAGGAGCCCCAAGCATACTGCTCCAGTTCACGTCTGCCCATGGGAGTCAGAGGAGGTGATCTTGGAGGTCAAAAAGCAGAATGATATAGCATTACAAAGACAACTGAGTGACAAGAAAGAATTGACTGTGACAGCAAGTAACGATGGTTTAAAGCCATCTGAGCTACAACTTAAGTCATTATTAGTTGTTCCTAATACAGAAGTGTGTCCATGGGATGTCCCAAAACCTTTTCATCAAAGTAGCATGTCTGAAGTCTGTCCTTGGGAGGTTGTGGAAGTCGAGCAATTGCAAACCAAAAACATGCAAACTGATGTCTGTCCTTGGGAAACAGACTCATCAAGGGTTACTGAAGACACAATATGCAATACCACTGTTGAAGTACCCATGCCTGGAGACATCCAGAAGCAGGTAAAAGTGAAGCCTGAAACATCCCCTTCTGATGTATCAGATACAAATATACCCAAGGTCAAACAAGGATCCATAAAAATGTCCAATGAGACAAAGCCTGGTGAAAGGGTTATTTATGTTAATACCAGAGAGTGTCGGTTGGAACAAGAATCGGCTCAGAAAAGAGGATTTATGGAAACAAGTAAAACACTGAAGCAAGAAGAAAGTGATTTTCCTGAACCACCCCCACCTGTAACTGATGTATGTCCTTGGGATTTAGAGCCAAATACAAAAGACAATTCAAAACCCTCAATGACTAAAAAAGCAACTGTTTGTCCGTGGGAGGCAGGGGATTCTGAAAAGTCAGAAGAGAGGGAAAGTGCTACAATCAAGGGGTCAGCAAAAGTACATCAAAAACAAGAAAGTGTATATGCAAATGTCTGTCCATGGGAAACAAGCGAGTCTGTTAAGACCATGCAGAAACAAGATAGTATCAGTAGAAATGTCTGTCCATGGGAGACACAAGAGTCAGTGAAGACTTTGCAGAAACAAGATAGTGTCCGTACAAATGTTTGTCCATGGGAGACAGAAGACGGGGTAAAAACCTTACAGAAACAAGATAGTGTCCGTACAGATGTTTGTCCATGGGAAACAGAAGAATCTGTCAAGACCTTGCAGAAACAAGATAGTGTCCGTACAAATGTTTGTCCATGGGAAACAGAAGAATCTGTCAAGACCTTGCCGAAACAAGATAGTGTCCGTACAAATGTTTGTCCATGGGAGACAGAAGACCAGGTAAAAACCTTACAGAAACAAGATAGTGTCCGTACAGATGTTTGTCCATGGGAGACAGAAGAGCCAGTCAAGACCTTGCAGAAACAGGATAGTGTCCGTACAAATGTTTGTCCATGGGAGACAGAAGAGACGGTAAAGTCCTTGCAGAAGCAAGACAGTGTCTGTACAAATGTTTGTCCTTGGGAGACAAGCAAGTCTGTTAAGACCATACAGAAACAAGACAGTGTCCGTACAAATGTATGTCCATGGGAGACAGAAGAGCCAGTCAAGACCTTGCAGAAACAAGAAAGTGTCCATGCAGAAGTTTGTCCATGGGAGACAGAAGAGCCTGAAAAGGCCTTGCAGAAACAAGACAGTGTTCTTTCAGATGTTTGTCCATGGGAGAAAAATGAGCCAGTGAAGACCTTACAGAAGCAAGATCGTGTCTGTTCAGATGTCTGTCCATGGGAATCAAACACATCAGCGATTCAATCAGTGCCACAAGACTCCCCTCGTACGGTCCCAACAAAAAGTCAAGAAAGTGCTCAAGAATCTGTCTGTCCCTGGGAAACTAACATGGGAACAACAGCAACAACAGAAGCCAGCACAAGTCAAACTGTCCTAGACACAATCAGAACACACCCTTCAGACACACAGACTGCAGAAGAGTTACGGGTTAACCCTCCTCTAGCTAGACGTGATGCATTATGTCCCTGGGAAATGGAAGGGGGGCGACAAGAATCTATAACCATGCATGATAATTTAGATGTCTTCACTTGGGAGGAGACAATCCCAGAGGAAGATGATGGTGATGCAGAAACTGCTGCAGAGGCCTTCATCTTCCCTCCAGACCTGTAACCCACAAGGGAAGTATCATTGTGCTTTATATACCTTGGAAGACATTGTAACAAGGACCACTGGTTACATTCGGGCTTTATGCAGAATGTTCCTCCACAGCAGTAGGCATGCTTTACTGACTGTTATTTAAGGAAGGATTCCTGCTATTGCAATTTTCTCCCTAGTCAGCTTAATAAACTGTATCTGGAGACTGACTGAAATCAGGACAGAACTGCTCTCCGGTGCGCATTCCCTTCTGGCCTTACATTACTACAAACCCCATTTTATTTGGTATTGTTATGTGTGTATTTGTGTTTATATGGCTGTGTAGATAATATTGTCTGTAAAACCTACATCACCAACATTTCCTTGGTGGAACATTAAGAAGGTTTATTTCCATGTATTTTCAGTAAAAAACAAACAAACATCACATCAATACTACCAATTAACTAAGTGAAGAGAAAAATTGGCCTGGGGTGCGTTTCCCAAACAACAACATAACTCGCGACTGTTGTGACGAGTGTTTCCCAAAACCATAGTTTCTCTGTCGTAGATACATTGTTTGAACCACGTAAGTTATATCGTTAAACGCCCATAATGATGAAAGAAAAAAACATCCAATATTAGTTGTAGTAAAAACATGCACTCGTTTTGATGGTCTCAGATATACATCATCATGTTAATTTTAATTTTTAGCTCTCTGCAACTCATGGTCCCCCACTGAAGCGAAGCAGGGCTGCACCCGGTCAGTACCTGGATGTGAGCCCTCATGGGAAAGCTAGATTGCTCTCGGAAGTTGTTAGTGAGACCAGCAGGAAGTGCCCAACCTGCTGTCTGAATGGGTCCTAACGCCCCAGTATATTGATGGGGGGACTCTATACTTCTCAGTGAGAGCCGTCTTTCAGATGAGCGTTAAACCGAGGTCATTTAAATCCCAGGATGTCCTTCGAAAAAAGTAGGGGTTTAACTAGAGATGGGGACTCCAAAAGAGTTGATTCCTTGACTCAATGGACCTACGTGAACACTTATTCATTTTGAATTTCGCAACCACAAGTACTCATAAATAATTAGTTTCATTTTTAAATTCCTATAACCTTTTGCGATTTGGTTTTAAAGATGATCTGCCTGTGATGTTAAGTTTGCTGTGTTATAAATGAAATATAGCACATTTGTTTAAATTTAAAGGGGAATGACATCTTACATAAGCACTGCAGGTAAAATTACGATGTTATTAGTTGCTATCTCTGCCTGTTTCACAATAAATTTATTAATTGATTAAATATTTTAAAAACACTAATCATAATGACAAAAGTAGCCTAGATTTATTTATTGACAAAACATGTCGTCCTGTTTTGTTTTTTTGCCCTAGACGCACTTGTTTTCACCTCTAATATTTAGGCTATTCTTCTTGTTTATTTTGCAGATGAATACAAATTGCATGCATTAAAATTAAGATACAATTCAAAACAAACTAAATAAGTTTCAAAAAGAGGATTTTTAAATTAAAAATATAGCCACGGCTAAGTGTTCAAAAACAGGTCTAACTCGCTCCTTTTCTTCAGGCTTATGCTGTCCCACTAACACACTCTAATTTAATTACAATAAACAAATAGCACAAAACAAACAGCGATATTTCAAAGTAAAGGAACAGGCTATTTAACAGTAGACTTTAAAAAAACACATTTAAGAGTGAGAGAATAATATGATAGGCTGCTTTGAGGCAGTCTATCACACTGCTTTTGTTATTTTAGGTTTGTTATGGAATATTTAAGTTAAAAAAATCTGTGGGTTTAATATTTAATTAGTCATTGAATCAAATTAAAAAGCTATTTTGTTTATTGATCGTTTGAAACGTCTGTACAAATACAGCAACAACCACAGACCGTCTGCTACTCCAGATTATTTTGTTTACTCAGTACTCTGTATTCAACTATCAAACATCATATTCAGAAGATATTTAGGCTATTTAATGATTTTTATTTAATCGTTTTTGGGCTCAATTTGGGTGTTTTTTTTAATTTGTTAATTAACTGTTACACATCTTTTTATTAAATATGTTGATAATAAAAAGATGTTTTAACTTTGACAAGTTTAGATCATTTATTAAATTACATTGCAATCTTGGAGACAATTCAAATATGTTGTAAATAATATAGACTTATAACTATTTGACTGCAGATAATTTAAACTGCAGATTTTTTGCTGTCGCTATTTCAAGTGAATCCAAAATTAGGAGTCGAGAATCAGTCAACTCAAAAAACCTGAAACCGAACACCCCTAGGTTTAACCCCTGCATCTTGGCCAAATTTGCTCACTGCCCTCTGTTCATCATGGCCTCCTAACCATCCCCATATCATAATTGTCTTCATCCCTCAGTCTCCTCTCCACCAATCAGCTGGTGTGTGTTGTACGGTCTGGCGTAATATGGCTGCCGTTGCGTCGACCAGTTGGATGCTGCACACTGGTGGTGGATGAGGAGATCACTCAAACTGAACTGTGAAAAATCCCCTGTAAGTAAACTACACGTGAGAGATGGATTCAGTGTTATCTTTTTTTTTTTTTTTAAATCATTCATACTTTCAATGTTGGAACGTTCTGAGGGAATAGAGTTAGAGGATAACTGGGAATAGAACACAGACATTAACTATTATTTATACCACAGCTCTAGAGGTGTAGTTGCAAACGTACCAATATCTATGCAAACATACACGTTTGCGAATGTTCGTTGGAACGATGAATTTGGGAAACGCCAAATCAAGGACTATGTTTGTAAACACACAACTTGGCATCTTAGTTGGCTAATGATGGTTCTCGGAAACGCACCCCTGGATAATGTTCATGACAATGTTGTAAACAGCTTTTTAGTGTCTACCGTACTTTTAGACCAACAATTCCACTTTTAAATACAACTATATAAATGCTATACGTTTGACCTGTATTCAGATCAAGGCAGGCATAAGAATCATACTGGAAATCAAGAGTGTTTAAGAGCAGAAAAAAACTAATATTATGGAAGTCCATGGGTACCAGTTGCCAACATTTTTCAAAATATCTTCTTTTGTGTTCGACAGTAGGAAAAGAAATCAGTCAGGTTTGGAACAAGAGATGGGTGAGTAAATGACGATTTTTAAAAATAATTTTTAGGTGAAATTCCCCCTATAAAGTGACATTCAGTTCAGTTCTTGTTTATTTCTTTAGCGCTTTTACAATGTAGATTATGTCAAAGCCGCTTAAGCTATAAGTTCTAATTAAGTCCAGATTTCAGAGTGGTACAGGCAAACTACATTTTGGACCTTCATTTCAGGGATCACAAAAGCTGACAGCCTGAAGTCCCGGGGCTATTGCAGTGGCCAGCCAGATAGATACCTACATAGCCTGCTGGGCAATTAGATAGATTAGATTATATAGATTTTGGTAGTCCAACTGAAAAATGATAGCCCCAGTACTTTGGGCGACCACAATTTGTGAGCCCTGGGTTTGTAATGAACCAGTTGTGATTTAATAATTGTTTACAGCACTTTTCAGTACAAATTAGTTCACAAATCAAGTAAGGTCATGAGGTTTAAGACTAGAACTCAGTTTACTTGTTCACTGCATAACATTTACACCATAACATGTACAATAACAAAGCGGGACCAGGATAATCTCTTGGATGGCCATTAATAAGCTGTAAATATGAGTTTTTTTTTATTATTTCATTCTTTTTTGTAGAGTTTTAAGGCCCCTTGTGTGAGCATGTGAAACGAAATGTTAAGGGTTTCCAAAACAAATCATTGTGTACATGTTTAATTGGTCACACTTTATCTTGATGATCAGTTTGTTGAATTTAAGTTACATTGCATCTACATGCCAACTAATTCTCATTAGATTATATGTAGACGGTTAGGTTAGGTTTAGTGTAAGTTGACATGTACCTGCAAAGTTTCCTATAGTCAGTAAAATGTCTGTTGGAGCAGTATCAGCAGATATTAAGCAGACAGTCTACTGTTACTCAAATGGACCATCAAATTTAAGTGTTACTGTTTAATTCAGCCTATTTATTTGCTTCTTCTAACAAATAATTACAGACTTTAGCAAAGGCGATCGTTAGACTGCACTAATAAATCCCACCAGAGTTAGATGTTTGAGTTTCAGTTATTGTCATTTTGAATGTACTTGTAATGTTAGCTTTTCAAAGCAGGAAGTAACCATGAACACTATGCTTTTGTATTGCAATTTTTTTTTTGTAAGAACCAACAGTCAATTTTTAACAATAACCAAAAGGAAGTTTCCATTAACTTCTTTCAGTGTAAAAACCGACACTTTATTTTTATATTCTGTGAGTTGAGCATTCTGAAATAAACATTTCAACTCCGCGCTGTTGATTTTCATGCATGATGGAAATGTTGAACACGATGTAAAAACATATTCAATGTGTCCAAGTGCAGATGGAAAACAAACTGAAGAGGTGTTATAAATACAGCATTATTTATTTTGATAACTGGGAATTGATCTGTACAGGCATTATTTATGCCACTGAACTGCATTTGGCTTCGGTATCTGATAATTCAGATCTTCAAACTGTTCACCGGACTTCAGCTTGGGTCCAGGGATCATAACGGTCTGTTGAAATCAGAAATTAATTCAAGTAATGATAAAAATGATATGAAACATGTAGTCCTTAACATCACAAATTCAATAATAAAAAATACAAAGACGGAAAACTCCACCTTAATAATGGGATCTTTTGGTGGAGCCCATGCTGGAACAATCTTGCCATGAAGCCTCCAGCGCCCGTAAGGATTCACCAGATGTCTCTCCATCACCAGATACTCCAGGACATCTCTGGGCTCTTCCTCATCTCCGAGCATCAGCCGGCCAAAACGGTCATAGATGGCCAGCGTCTGAAAGATGGCGTGATGAAATTAGCATCACGAGGAGAGAACTCAGAAAAATTGCATTTCTAAGACTCAAACTCATGGCGAAGCTCTCTGTCCTTCTTTAAAAATTAACACTTTTAAAATGAAGTATGTGTTTGTTTGAAGTGTTTAGTGTTAGCAAACAGTATAATGCCAGCAAATCTGGTGAAAGTGAGGTTTAGAAGTACGCAGGGGTGAAAACTGTAAGTTAAGCTCAAAATCCTTCTAATAACTTTTCAATCCATGCAAATGCACTGAAAATGCTAAACATTCCAAAACAAGAAGGAAAAATGGTTAAATGTATTATTATTTTACAGAAAGTGAAGAAAAAATGTAAAATAATTTAGAGCCTAAATCCGTTTCCCAACCCTGTTCCTGGATGCACACCAACACTACATATTTTGGATGTCTCCCTCATCTGAACCATTCATTTGAGGTTTCAGAGTCTCTTCTAATGTTCTGATGAGTTGATTCAGGGGTGTTTGATTAGGAAGTGGTTGAAAATGAGTACTGTTGGTGTGCCTTTAGGAACAGGGTTGGGGAATACGGACCAAAAACTAGAGGTCTGGACCCGACCAGAATTCTTGCGGTGCGGGAATACATTTCCAAATAAAACATGTAGCGGTCAGTAAAGGTCTGGTGTAATTTGAACAGTGGGCAGTCTAACAATATAGCATTCCCAAGTCCCAATGTTATTTTGGAGCAGAATATCTGTCATTATCTTCATTCTCCTTGATCACCATGAATAAATGAATAATGAAGGGCAGAGGGCTGCTGAAGACATTTAGAGAGATATCAGCTGCTGTCTGGGCTTTCCCTGCCTTTCTACAGCTCAGATTTCTACACCTTACATTTGTTTTCTTTGCATATATGGATTTCTTTGGTGGTAAACAACATCTGGCAAAAATTTAAAGTAAACAGCATCTTTACAAATGTTTTTTGAGAAAAATGCCTGCATTCCACATGTTGAATACTCATTTCCCCTACTGTATTAATGAGAATTAAACCAAATTGTTTTTTAGTTCATAACCCTTTAAAGAAAGCATCCAAATAACTATGATCAGACATATTTGCACAAACTATGCAATTCAGCACTACAATATATAATAGACTGCTTAAAAAGCAAGCAGCATTAATGCTAAGAGACCCAATGTTGCTTTATAACAGAACTCACACAGCTTCAATATATCTTAATTCAATGTTTCCCAACCCTGTTCCAGAAGGCACACCAACAATACACATTTTCAACCTCTTCCTAATCAAACACCCCTGAATCAACTCAGCAGGACATTAGAAGAGACTCCAAAACCTGAAATGAATGGGTCAGATAAGAGAGGCATCCAAAACATGTACTGTTGGTGTTCCTTCAGGAACATGGTTGGGAAACACTGTCCTACTTAGCAGCTCTCCAGTGTGATTAAGCTTACTCTTTGATTTAGCTTGAAGTATAACATGGCCTGTACATGAAAGCGTCTCACTCACCTGTCTAGAATGCATGCGGACAGTGACCTGACCATAGAGATTGCCTTTGCTGATCATGTCAGGACATCGAGCTTGAACAAGTCGAGGAGGCTCTAGAGACTCAATAAAGCGCCAACGCAGAGTCTTATAACGATTCCCCCGAACCATCTCCTGAAAAACACACACACAGACAGAGACCATGTCAAATGCTGAACAAGGACACATTGGCCTCTGAAGAAAATACTGATATGCTTTTACATATAGGCGGGGGTCCATAAAAGTGAGAATGAGTATTTATAAAGTATAATTCACCTAAAAATGTCATTTTTGCCTTAATATAATGATGTATTCGCGGCCGCGAAATCACACGTGACGTGAGGTGCTGACCTTGAGCTGTTACCACAGAGAGGGCGGGCCCTACTTAATGATAGACGTGCCATTGAACCACTATACATTTTACATTCGTCCTTGGCCCAATATGTACTTGCTATGTGTGTATAAAGAATGCTGATATGAGATATGAAATAATCAGTAGTTGGCAAATATATTAGCTGAATAGGTTTGTAAATTTAAGGGTGCTTTCACACCTAGACTTTTGTTTCGGACCCTGTCTCGTTTGCCCACTTAGCACGGTTCGTTAGGCATTTGTGAATCCACTAATCAAGCTCGGATCTGCATCCAATAAGGTGGTCTCTGAGTTTTATGGATATGTAATAGGCATACGGCTATATGAAGAGAGAAATATGAGTAGGGCGGGAGGTCATTCCAGACATCCCAAGTCTCCCAGAAGTTTCCAGGGTCTCCTGCAAATAAACACAGAGACTCCCAGATGCCTGCAAACGAGTGATAATCTTCTGGAAATTGCGCATCTCCCTCTCAGTCCTCAAATACATTGCGCACCCTTCTCACTCCTCCCCACAGCATCTCTCCTGTCTCTTCAGACACGTCGCGTGCACCTTGTCAAACACCACCAAACCAAACAAATATTTCCCAGTTTTTCCTCTGGAGAAAGGCTTATTTGTTTTATTTTAGCTAGAATAAGGCCGTACT